AATGGCAAGTACCAAGTTCGTAGCCTTCAGTTAATGGCTTACCTTCGGCTAAGTTCACGATAGTCACGCAAGGGGAACACCCCAATAGCTCCCTACTGAGCTAGTGTTGTAACCCATATCGATGAGATTATATCGATACGATTATCGATAAATCGATAAGCATAGTTGTACTAATTCAACAAAATTTATAGGCTACAACTCTTAAAATATTATGCCTTTAAGTATGAACCTGATCTGTGTTTTATTATTATAGTATTTTTTATTAAAATATATCTGTATTTAGTAAACAATAATAATCATAATTAAACAAAAGATGATAATTATTCGATAATTCGAGAAATTAATATCAATCTATATAAAAATAATATTTTATAAAAAAGGGAATTCTTATACTCTAAATAATTTCGATATTATATATATACACCACTAACATCATTAAAACCTTCGAAGGACGTACTGTCACGGCCGCAACCTTCGATGGCTGAATAAATATGAAGCGTTTATATTTATGAAGTACCTGAATAAAAAAAAAAAAACTATGAAAAAATGCTGACAATTCTTTTAGATACGTATGAGAGGCTATAAATAATATATTTATATATAATTTAAACAAGTTACATCTGTACGAGATAAAAAGAAAGTTATTTGGACCATCGCGTGTGTATAACATTGATAAAAATGTATAATTCCAAACCGTGTTAGGAGAACAGTAGACAGTAGGTCATTATCTTGTATCTAAATATAATACAAATATTGTTTCATTCATTTAAAAATTCTATACAAAATTTGTTAAAAGTTTCAAGCTTGTGCCCTACTATTACAGAATTAATTCGCTTATCATTCAAACCCAACACTTCTTCCTGGCAATTTCCCAGCTTTAACCAGGGTCTGCCTTACATGTTGTGAATTTTGGCTAATTGTTTTTACGATCGACCGCCTGCCTGACATCAACCCTCTTTGGGAATGCATTAATCAGTGATTTCTAAATACTCTTAGAACGTACATATGACTCGGAAAAATCACATTGATACTTGCCAGGAAAAACAAAACTATGATTAAGTAATAAGGAATAGCTAGAATAAACAATTACATAACATGTAAATAATTATCACAGAATTTGTTCACAAATTAAATTTAATCTCAACAGTACAGAGTACGAACAAATATATAAAAGGAAGACAATACATAATCTTGATCAAATAGAAACTTCTTTTAACTTTATTATTTAAAGCAAAAATTGTTATCATTACATAACCTTGGCAAGGAAGTTAGGTGGAGCGCGTTGCTATCGTAATGATTACAATTAGGAAGTGCTGTTTCAATACTTCGTGATATAGAAGTTAGCTAATAAATAGATTTTTAAGTCACATTAGTGGAAAAATTATGATTGTTTTGTCTCAAAACTGATTAAAAGTGTAAATAAAAAAGTATTAAACGTCTCTGTAGCGATTGGCGACAATATTTTGGCTTTGGCTTGAATAATTCCAGCTTAATAGTCAGCCAATACCAAGCGTAAATATTACCTTTTCTTCCAATCCTCAAATCCCTAAAATCCTTTTCCCGTTAGGTCTATTTCCATAATCCCCTTTTCATATTCCTATAAGTTTACGTATTCATAGACGATCGTATTTCTTACCTTCATAGGAATGGTTCGTCCCTTGATCATTGTTTTATAGCACGTAGTACGAGTACCATATATGTTTGTATCACTGTAAATTGAGTTTACACGTAGATACTCCGTGTAAAGTGTTTAAAGTACAGTAACATACGAAGGGAGAACGGACATACATAATTATAAACCCACTAGCTTTCCGCCCGCACCTTCGCCCACGTGGAGTTCGGTTGTATCGCGTTTCCAAGAGAACCTTCCAAAATTCTGGGATAAAAACTATCCTATGTTCTTTCTCAAGGTCAACTCTATCTCTGTACCAAATTTCATTAAAATCAGTTCAATGGTTTAAGCGTGAAAGCGTAACAGACGGACAGACAGAGTTACTTTCGCATTTATAATATTAGTAGGGATGATTAGCAGTTGGCTCTATAATTTTATGTGAATAAAGATTTCCAAAAAGGACTATGACTTGCCTTAATATTCTATTCTATTATTTTCTAATTTTTTGCTATGGCTTTATTCGCACTGGAATCGTGGAATAATCTGCCAATGTCAACGTTTCTTTGAGTTAAAGGCGCGATTTTCAAACTGTATTAAAATAAAATGTCAAAGAAATTGTCATAAACATATCGGGCTGCCAGGATGATATTGTTGCCATATCTTAATTGCTGCTTAAATTTAATTCTGGCTTTATAGTTTCAGTACCAATCAATTATACTACAAAAAAAAAACATCTATCAATGGTACATTAGAAGGAATATAGAGGAATTTCAAACTTAATATATCAAAGTATTGATCAAATATCGGCTCCATTAAAACAAAGCCGAAGCTAAAAATTCTATATTCTATTAAGAAATAATTATAAGAACAAAAACTAATTAACATATCTCGTGATTGGCGTGATTAAGATCATTTTAACAATACGCCATTACTTTAATTAAAGGAGAACAATTCTTTATTTACCCTTACTATCTTGTATTTGTTTGTATTATAAGCTGATGTTACAGTTTACATAAAGCTTACATTAATATACACAGGAAAATTGCCAATTTTATAACGAACCAATGACATACATTATGTATTTTATATTTTAGATTTGACAAATATAAAGTCAGTGGTGGCCTAGTGGTTAAAGGCCCGCCTCTCATGCATGATGCACGGGTTCGATCCTGTCAAGTACCAATGTGATTTTTCCGAGTCATATGTATTTTCTAAGAGTATTTAGACATCATGCATTGCCAAAGAGGGTTAATATCAGGCAGGCGGCCGGTCGTAAAAAAAACAATCAGCCAAAACTATTTACATTTTCTGTGGAAGAGAAAAACATGTGCCGACCGTACATAAAGTGGGATCAGGGCAGGAAAAAAAATTGACACATAAATATGAAGAATCTGGTAATAAAGATTGTTAGAAATACTATCATATCCGAATCTAAATTATTAATTATGTAATATAAAAGTATATAAGACAAATAAAAGAAAGGAATATGTATGTTCAAAACTGATATATTATTTGTTAAGTTATATATAACCATGTTGAAGTTAAAAGTATTTACTTACAAGTTTTGTGAAGTTACTAAACAAGTTACTGAAGTTTAAAATAACTTAATATATGTATATGTAGCTGTTTTATTATATATAACCATATATATTAACTGAACTCTCAATTTTAAATTTATTAATATTATTATGAAACAACTTTCGATTCTATCCACGAAAGAAAATGTTAAAACAAATATTTTTTCCCTTTAAAGATTTGAAAAATATATGATACATTTTTAGAATTCATGTAAACTTTATGTGGAACAAGAAAATAGTATGAATCAACGTATTATTGAGAATTTTATGCATGCAGCTGACACACAAAGGTCATTGAACCAGTGATTATTTTCATATATTGAAGTTATTTCCTGTAATTTTAATCGGTTGTAAGCTACTATTATTATAAACAAAACTGAAGTATAATTGTAATATGTAAAATGTTTTCGTTATTTCAATATAAGTAATTAATTATTTATATAAAAATCCAAATCTATACTAATATTATAAAGCTGAAGAGTTTGTTTGTTTGTTTGTTTGTTTGAAAGCGCTAATCTCCGAAACTTCTGGTTCGAATTGAATAATTCTTTTTGTGTTGGATAGTCCAGTTATCGAGGAAGGTTGTGGGCTATATAACATCACGCTACGACCAATAGGAGCAAAGATATAGTGGTAAATGTGTAAAAAACGGGAGAAATTATTTCATCTTTGAAGCCTTCCGTTGCGTGCGCCGTGAAAACGGTTCAAGATACACAAAAAAATTGTATTAAAGAATAATAGGTCTTTTAATGATCTAAAAACCAGTACGCGACAGTATATGTCTATCTTTTAAGATTAACTCACAAAAACCGTTTTATGGTACCTAATTTGGTGGAAATAATTTGTTTAAGTTGGATCAACATAATAATATTAATCTTTATTCAAATAAACAAATAAATATGTTGTTGGTTAAGAGTACTTCATTGTGAATAAAAAAAACATAGGTTTTATCCTGATAATTCTACGGGAACTCGACCATTCCGAAAACCCCGCAAGAACGGGAACTATGTGGGAAGAACCAAAAATCTGCCGGAAGTCACTATTCCACGCGGACGAAGCCGCGTCAAAAGCTAGTATAAAATATAAAAATTCGAAATTGTGCAATTATTAGTGATTTATTCTGTTATATGCTTACCAATAGTTTGCATCCACACGACAAACAAAACGTTTTCCGTTTTTCATTATTTTACTTACGTCAATACTAAAAGTATGAATGAAAAAAACTGTCCATACTTCGTATTTAGTGTGATGTTGTGAAGTTATTCTGAACAATTTCTTTCATAGTAAAACATATAGAAGATGCTTGTCATTCTCAATATAATATCTTCTTCTACCTGGCAATTTCCCAGCTACAGCCAGGGTCTGCCTTACATGTTTGTGAATAGTTTTGGCTATTTGTTTTTACGACCGGCCGCCTGCCTGACATCAACCCTCTTTTGGGTATCAACATTAATCAGTGATGTCTAAATATTCTTAGAAAGTACATGTGATTCGGAAAAATCACATTGGTACTTGCCCGGGCCAGGATCGAACCCGCGCCCTCGGCAACGAGAAGTGGGCCCTTTAACCACTAGGCCACCACTGACTTGAATATTCTCAATATAATATATTATGTATATAATAGTTATTTTAATTGTTTCAGTTGGCTGCATCTCAGTTCCCAGCGGGCTATGGGGCGGCTGTCGACTTCTATCTGACGTGCATCTCATATTGGAAGCTGAGTTAGGAGATAACTCTTAACTGATAACAAGTGTAGTGATAACAGTCGTATAGAATACATCGGCCGGTACGAACGTGTAATGTGTGCTATAATGAAGTTTGTGGACATGTGGTCTGTTTGCCTGTTGATCGGTTTCGTTGGAGGTCATTCACCTGGTAGCGAGCTGGAGGCTGTTAGGTATGGACCCTCGGAGGAGAGGGTCGCCAGTGACACCTTCACTGTGGCTGACATCAATATAACGTATAAGGACGAGCATGGAGAGTACTACACGGATACATCCGAGGTGACTAGACATCTGTTTGAATTAACTGTATTTAAGATTTACGCGAGTCTTATTCATTTAAATGAAACTAATATTTTTTCGGATTTTTGATTTTTACATACTCCTGTCGTTTTGGCTACTTTTTAGCAACCGAGATAACAAAATATTATTTTCATTTAACTTTTCTGTGGATATAAAATTCGTATTTAGTATATTCTTCTTGCAAAGTTTATTTAAAGATTTTAGCATACATAGGGATATAGAAAGCGATTTTGTTTTATACTATGTAGTGATTTATATCAAGTACGGCATATAATTTAATGACTGACAGTAAAACTAAATTGATATACTTATTTGTTCTGAAACTGATTTGACTGTAGAAATGTTATACCTATTTTTGATAACTACTAATTTGTATTGTCAAACTAAATATATAATTTACTGTATTTTCATTCATAAATATTTACACGTAATAGTGTCAATTTAGGCATCACTAATTAATGCTGATTCCCAAAAAAAAGGATTGATGTCAGGCAGGCGGCCGGTCGTAAAAACAATTAGACAAAACTATTCACAACATGTAGTGCAAACCCTGGCTATAGCTGGGAAATTACCAGGTAGTAGAAGTGTCAATGTTGGTGTATTAAGAACTGGAAAATTATCATTTCAATCAATTAAATACAAAACCATTTTTATAAAAAAAACTTTAACCCTAAGTCAAATTTTGATATAATAATTAAATATTCCGCGACACAGGTGCTCTTTTATGTAAAAAAAAAATGAATCTATATAAAAACCGTACGAAATTCTCATTTTTTATCGGTTAATTTATTATACGCTTTGACAATCGGAACGTCATTATTTGACAGATTTGACATAACAATGTTTTATATTCTATTGACGTAATATAATTGAATGGCTGTGACGTATGTGTATCGAAATATAATATTTCTTTTTTAATAGTTTTGATTAATAATGATATATGGTTAAAAAAATGTTAATGAATTGTTTTGCTATACAGCATTGAGTTGGTTAGTATCGTCTTTTAATTGTGTATATAAATGACAGTGTTATTATAACACTATGTATTGCCTGCGGCTTCGCTCGAGGTACATATTAACACCTTTACGAAGTTTTATTCGATTACTTGAGAACCGCGTAATCTAGTTTCCGGACTATGGAACTGCCTAAGTACAGTGCCTTTTCGATTACAAAAAATCATTACTAAAAACAGTCCTTAATTATCAGAAAGTGTAAAAGCGTAATTAATCAGATTATGAACTTCTTTTTAAAACTAGCTTAAGTTACTCCTTACAATATTATCTCCCTGCGAGTTAAAATTCCGTGTTACTCATTCAATCCGTTCCAGAGATTATCCGGAACAAACACACAAACAGACAAACATTTTAATCTTTGTAGTTGTCTTATAAACTGTCATATACAATCATTGAAAAGTTTTTACTATGAAATTATATATAGATGTAGATACTTAAATTTTATGTGTATATATATATCAAGCTGTAAATATGTATCCAAATTATGTATGTATAGATAAAACACTATATACATATACATATTTTAAAATTTTCTAATAATTGTAAAAATAAACAGTTCTTATAAATTCCTACACCTGACTTCTGAGTTTTTTTCTATTTCAAATGACGTCTATAATAGTTTTATTATGAATGTGGTAAATTTAAAAGATAAGAATAGAAAAAAAAAATAACATATACGATTAATCACGTTATACTTATTATAAAAAAAATATTAACCTTGAATATTATTAATATAATAAAAAAAAACATTTTATTAAATTATTTTTAAAAAGCGTCGGTTTTGCAGGTATTGTGGACTTCTTCATATCCACAATAATTATTATAATTTAATAAAATCAATGTATAACGTAAATATAAGTCCATTTTATATTTAAAAATATATAAACAAAATAATCTCCCTAGAGTTGTTTTCGCGACCTAACCGGAATAGACCAATGCCGGTTTGATGCAGTCATTTAAAAAAAAAACAAATACGTCATGTGTCAAAAGTATTAAGTAACTGTCAAATGATTTTTAATAAAAATCAAGGCTTCGTTTAATTATTATTAATTAATGAGTTACTTTGTATTAAAACAATAAGCATTGTAAGTAAAATTGAATCTGAAAGGTAGTAGGTGATGTCGTCTTTACAACTTATACATATATCATCATCAGCCTATCCAGAGCCCACTGCTGAGCAAAGACCTCTTCTCACATGGAGAAGGTTTGAGCATTAATCACCACACTTGCTCAAGACGGGTTGGTGATTTCAAACTTATAATTTGATTATAAGTCCAGGTTTCCTCATTATGTTTTCCTTCACCGTCTGTCAGTGGTGTCTAAATACTCTTAGAAAGTACATATGACTAAGAACAATCACATTGGTACTTACCAGGTTTCGAACCCGCGCCCTCATACATGAGGAACAGACTTAACCTCTAGGCCACCACGACTCTACTCAACTTATGTGTATAAGACTCATAAAATGTAGGTCTGTTTAACCAAGACCAACCAATTACGTTTGTACTAAATTGGGAAATGTATCCGTAGGAATGTCATTAATATAATAAGTTGCTTAATCTTCTCCATTAATATAATACGTATGTTTTCATGATATTATTTTTGAATTCTATAAAAATGTTCAAATTTTTCTAAAATCATTTGTGAATTATACGTTTATTAATTCCTTCATTTTCGATACTAATTTTAATAATATCGTAATTCAAATGTTAAAGCTGCTACATCTGTTATAATAATCTATACCAAATTTTAAACTATTATTCACCTAAGAACGATAGGTATACTTAAATTTTAATAATTATAAATGTTACTACAATTAAACGAATAGTAAAATTAAACATATATCTTCTTCTACCTGGCAATTTCCCAGCTATAGCCAGGGCCTGTCTTACATGTTGTGAATAGTTTTGGCTATTTGTTTTTATGACCGACCGCCTACCTGACATCAACCCTCTTTGGGAATCAGCATTAATCAGTGATGTCTAAATACTCTTAGAAAGTACATATGACTCGGAAAAATCACATTGGTACTTGCCAGGGCCAGAATCGAACCCGCGCCCTCGTGCATGAGAGGCGGGCCTTTTAACCACTAGGCCACCACTGACTTATATATGAAAATTAAATAAAATATAGGAACCTTTTATAAAGTAATAATTACCATATAGTTAAGTTAAACTAATTAATCCTGTACTAACATAATCTGTCTATACACGTCATGTGAAAGGCGATCGTGCCCTTCGAAGGCCGAGTCTAAACTAGTCTAAGTCTAGACCAGTCTAGACTAGTCTATAAAATGTTTTCGAACTTTACAATACGATAATCTTGTAGTAATTTCATTGTTTAAATTAGTAAACTCTAGTTGTAATGATAATATTTTAATTAATGACAAAAAACTAATTATATTCATCGTCTTTTGTTCTAGTTTCTACTATTCTAGAACATTTTGTATTTAAACACTTCCTGAACTACATTTATAAGTCGAGTTATTTTATAAATGTCTGAAATCTATTCCCGATGACGGTTGAGTGCCAAAGTAGTGTTCGGGAAACGCAATTTCAGTAATAAATATAAATTTAATACATATATGTATATAAAATTTAATTTAATTTAATACTAGTATAATCTCTTTGTTTATAACTGACGTAGTTATGTCCGTAGTACGAGTTTAAAAACTAAAAACTCACAGTTTGATAGTGTGACATTTACAAATAGTTTCATTCGTACTAAGTGCTTCTTAACAATTACCAAAAATAAAAGAAATACAGTTCAATACAAAAATACACCATATCACATATTTATGATTGAATAAAATTTTGAGCCAATAAAAAAATCGTGTTACCAAAGTTCGTTGACCTCGTGAAATTTGTTTTGGCTGATAGCTATTTATTTCGGTTTTACGTATTGCTCGCTATCTGTGACACCTTTAATAAAAATTTCTAGAATTATCTTCCAATATTGTTCGCTTTTGAAATTTAAATGATAATATGTGACTTTCATTCATTACTGTCACGTTCTTGTTTTAATAGTTTAAGGAAATTAGTATTTTAATAGTTTTTCTTAATGACACTTTAGAACAAATAATTCATACGAAAACCGTGGATAATTACTTAGTATACAATTGTTAAAATAACGTTTCTTTATAATTGTATCTGTTCAAAACTAAAATAATAGACTCGGAATATTTAGCTAAAATAAATTAATAATTTATCCTACTTGTAATGCAACAAATATTTAAATAAAAAAACGCTCATTTATTAAGAAATCATGTCAACAAAAAAATACCAATAATAATCATTATTGTTAACTTACATTTCATTGTTCTTTGTTCTATTTTTTAATTCAATTTTTTTTATTAATTTGAAGTATTCCATGCGATATCTTTGTTACTGGCCAGTATTTTTTTTTTTTTTTTTTATATTATTCCATACGAAATCTTTGTTACTGGCCAGTATTAATTTGATTTTTTTTTTATATTACTCCATACGAATTCTTTGCTACTGGCCAGTATTAATTTTTTTTTTATTCCATACGAATTCTTTGTTACCGGCCAGTATTAATATCACACGTTGGCTGAATGTAGTGAACTCGAAATAGATTTACGAATATTTCACTAAAATATCCGAACGTGAGTCATGTGTCAAGTCAATATTAAACATTAATGTTTTTGAATTGAAGTTACGAAGGCCACGGATCCTATACATTATTGCTGGCTGCTGTTTTAATTGAATTGTTCGCTAACAATAACAAACGTACAGTCATCGGGTGTAATTTTAAATGCAATACAGTGCATGCGAATTTTATATCTATTACTATATAAAAGGGTTTATATTCGCTTGTGCGAATTGTTTCACGGTCAGCTACATACATGTGTCGGTGCATACGCCCGTAAATCAAGTTTTTTTATAACACCAAAGTTCACGTTAATATCTAGTACGAGTAAAATCACGTTAAACTGTAAGTTTCAAGGTTTCGACGGATTTATAAAACGTTACCTTGGAACGAATACTAAGCGCTGTATATTAATGATGTATAGGCTTAATAAAGTTTTTGTTTAAGCTTTTTATATATATTGTTCAAGGAAGCGGAAGTCGAGGTCCAACCGTTTAATATTATGTCCACGACAGAGTGAGATAGCGATATAGAAAGAGATGCATAATAAGAATATAAAATAATACGTGTCTGTTTTAAATAATGGCCTATTAATGACTTTTACATAATATTGTATACATAATATTAAAAATTGGAATAACAACGCCGCCGTTAATATGTAATACTTTTTAATATGACATATATTTTTAATGCTGCAGTTAAAACAAAACAATAACTTAAAATAAACATTATATATTATACAAAATAATAATAATTATATTAAAATAATTTATTGATTATTAACACTTAATTTAATATTAAATTTAATTTGTTAATAACATTTCAGTACTCGCGTACTCAGCCAGGTACAAACATATATATACATATGTGTGTGGTATATATGTATGTATATATTATATACTACGTGGTCTTACGTCAAATATACGTTTTCATTAGACGTATTTAGGTATGACTGGCGTGGTGTGTCGAATGTAAATATATTTTATATGAAAACTTTCATTGAATTGAATAAATATTTAATTTTAGTTAAAATTAATCAATATTATTGTAATTTTATATACTTCAAATATTACATTATCTTCTATTCCTTTATTTCTTCTTCTACCTGGCAATTTCCCAGCTTTTAGCCAGGGTCTGCGTTACATGTAGTGAATAGTTTTGGCTAATTGTTTTTAAGACCGGTCGCCTGCCTGACATCAACCCTCTTTGGGAATAATTCTTTTATATAATTGGTGTAATATTTACAACAAAAGATTGAAAAGTATTAATAAGTCAAACTGAGCATTAATTTAAATACTATCTTCTATATATATAAAAATGGATTGCTGTTCCTTAGTCTCGCTAAAACTCGAGAACAGCTGAACGGATTTATCTTATCTTAGTTTTGAAATGTTTGTGTGGGTTCAGGGAAGGTATAAAAGCTGAAAAAAATTGACTCATTGCTGGGAAAACCATAAAAACAGCCCTTTTCTATTTCCCATACAAACGGTTTTTTTGACATTAGATTTGACAATAATTTTTGACATTAGATTTGACAATTTGACAACTATGGCTTACAGGTAAACTCCAAAAAAATAATTAAGGAATAATTTATTTCTTGATTGAGGCAGTACGAAGTCTGCCGGGTCAGCTAGTAGATAATAAATATTCAATTAAATACTATAGAACTTTATTTAAGTTTGTCAGTACAAAGATAGCGTTCATTTCTTTAATAAAATAATACGACCAGTATAATTTGGCCTTCCCACAGCAACTGACCCGATTCATCTTCATTGGACATCGTATTTATAGAACAAAGGCTCGTAATAACTTACGATATATTATCTCTGTGTTCAAGAACCACTTCATTGTTACAACTTGCTTATATTATCTATATTTAGCCACAATTAACTAAATTTATCTCAATTTTTATACTATTTTAGTATTTCTTAAATATTTAATAAAGATTAATCGCTGTGTCAGCGCCATCTTTAGAACTTTGTTAATTTATAACGTGTGTCTAATTTAAATGGACGAAATCTTAAAATAACTGTCGGATGTTGATAGTAAAGATATTTAAATTTATTAAAAATTATGCATTCATATTTATTATACAATTTTAAAATAAATTATAATGTTAGTCACCTACTTTTTAATTTATAAGAAACGTATATATATTTTTTTATTTTTTTTTATTTTGCGTAGGGATAAGGCAACAGTATTTCCGTATACAGCCACGATTTTGACGTTTATTTTTTTTTTCAACAGTCGGGTAAATACGGCGAGGGTTTCATCGGTTCGTCCCGCGGGATGGCGGTGCATGTGCGCGCTAAGGGTCCGAATGGTGATCATGATCACACGGGCTGCACGTGGCCGTTGCTGTCCGTGGCCGCGCCCACGGAACCACTGCCCACGGAACCCTGGATAGCCGTCATCCGCCGCGGCAACTGCAACTTTGAGATTAAGGTTGGTATCTTTATATATATAATTCTTCTGTGAGTGTGTATGTCACTGAACTTCTCTCAAACGACTGGACCGATTTTGATGAAATTTTTTGTGTGTGTTCAAGGGAATCCGGGAATGGTTTAGATTCACAATTTTGTCCGCTGTTTCTTTAATTAATTTTTAATTTATTAGTAGTTGTTGATACAAACGTTTTTTTGACATTAGATTTAACAACTAACTAATATGTCAATCATTCCGTCGCACTTCAAAACACGGAGATTTATGTCTTTAATAGGTAAACTCCAAAAATATAAATATTAAACGTAATAGATATTTCTTGATTATAGGGCGATACGAAGTTCGCCAGGTCTTCTAGTATATATATTTCAATGTAGAAGACTAAGCGTTATTATGATTAAAAAGGTCAAAGTCTAAAACAAACGCAGTTAAATATTTCGTTGATAAAGTCTATGGAAAAAAAATTAAAGGTCTTCAAGCTACTCTCGTTGGAATAAACAAAATGATAATCTTTAAACACACAAACGTAATATTTGATAAGATGTAGTATAATTATATAAAAACATTAATATATTGTTATTAAAAAATTATATTGAACAATAACTTAGTGAATTAAGACTTATTTCGCCATATCTTAGTTGACAGTTATTTAGTAATATTGCATTACAATTTCAATATTAAGTAGGGAAATCAATACAGACCTTGACCGTTTTAGGGAAAAGTGTTTTTGTGTGATGGCAACATTTTTTTTTAAAGAATAGTAAAGACATAAAAACTCTTTGGTATCTAGGATTATGTCAAGAAATTTTAGGCGGGAAAATAACTTTTGTTTCGATAACTTTATTCAATATTTATTTGTTTTTATAACATTAAAGCCATTTATGAACATTACTATTGTAAACAAGCTTTGTTTTTTTATATTTTAAATGAATTATATTAAATAAACCTACTTTTTTATTTCATATTCCTTTGTTATAAATATGTATGTCTTTGTTTCCGTTTGCGCAACAGACAAACGGTTTACTGTAACTGATGTTATGTTGACATGATTCAAATATTTAACATACCATAAGGCTTCTTACACACTGGAACACTGGAAAATGTACGACAAACTGTTCATACGAAATTATTATATGTACATAAATTAAGCTATTAATTTTTATATATGATATTATACATATATATATATATTAATTTATAAGAATATTTTTCGATTTCTATCTCACTGTTATATTGGCTGTATACGAAAAGTACATTTTAGTAAAAAAAGGAGTAAATTATTGATTAGAATTATAATATACATAAATACATGAAACGTTTTCTATGCTGTTGAAGTTAATTAAGTTAAAAATATTCGGTTAGGTATATTCTAAAAAGGTCTCATAAATAATTTAAAAATTCAATATCCTAGTCAGAACAAGAAAGAATGTTTAGAATAAAATTCGTACAGTATAATATACAGGTGTCATTTATTCAATACTGTCACTGTCAAATATTTTATTTTACTATTTTTAATCTATTTTCTATATAAATAATATTATATGTATAATTCTAAATTGACGACATTTATAATAACACTCCTTGCTAGTATTTTTAAGAGATTAATTATTTTATTCATAACAAGTTTTTTACCATACCAATTGAATAATGTTTTTTAACATAGAAACTTTAATAGAAATCCGTGTATTAAAGAAGAAAAGATGATTTTTGTAAATCCGTACCTCCTTTTTGATAGTAATAAAAAATTTAACACTGAGGAAAGTTAGTTCTGAATCTATTAATTTTATTCTTAAATATAGAACATATCCATAGACAATATAATGCTATCAAAGTCAGTGATGACCTAGTGGTTAAAAGGCCGCCTTTCATACACGAGGGCCCGGGTTCGATCCTGTCAAGTACCAATGTCATTTTTCCGAGTCATATGTACTTTCTAAGAGTATTTAGACATCAATGATTCCATTCCCAAAGAGAGTTGATGTCAGGCAGGCGGCCGGTCGTAAAAACAATTAGACATAACATTAAAGCAGACCCTGGCCAAAGCTGGGAAATTGTCAGGTAGACGATAATATACTGTTATCAAAAATTCCAGAGTTATCTTAATACCTCATTGTCTGTAAAACAATATTAATACAATATCTATCATTACGGTGTTTCTATCTAATATCAATCTAACGCTATGTATTAATATGCAATAAAACCTACACCGTTAATACCTCGTTGGACAGATAACGTTATATTACAGACCGTACTTGGATAATAGATTCAGTACTATTATTGTCTATGGATATACGAAAAAAGCGTCGTAGAAAAAAATATTATTCCTTAAAAAATAAGTGGCTTTTTATATTGTGGAAGTTTAAAGAAAATTTAATACAAATGATGCTTTGTAAAAACAAATAGCCAAAAACTATTCACAACATGAAAGGCAGACCCTGGCTATAGCTGGGAAATTGCCAGGTAGAAGAAGAAGAAGAAGATGCTTCGAACGTACTATCTATAGAACTTCTACAAAAAAAATATATGATTGAAATTGCGTCAGACTCAACATCGATATAACGTCACGACCAATTACGAGATTTCTTTTTTATCTAAAATTTTATTAATTACTAATATAACAAGGAAAAAATATTATTAGGCTCTGATAAAAACATGGAACTTTTGTTTTAAGATTTTTTCCGATAGATACTATCAAAAACATTGATAAAGCTTGATGATGTATGAAATATTTATCATTGATAATATACAGATAACAACTATATATATATATATGTAGTGTTTTAATTTCTTTATGTATATATTATTTCAAATTATTGGATTATTTCAAACTAACTCAGCTAAATTGCTTCAAATGAATTCAGACATTGAATATATGAAATTAAACTATTAATTTTTGAGTTACTATACGTCATTTTATTATTTTAAAACCACACATCTCGTCTGTCCGTGATCACGGTTGCTGAAAAGTAACCAAAACTTCGGGTGTACGTAGTTTAAAATAATAATCCGAAAATATTAGTTCCATTTCAATGAATATTCGAGAAAGTCTTACATGTCAAAATTGCAAAAACTTTTATATAAAAAATGAATTCATAATAAACACTTGCGACCAGAATGCAGATACCTAGCACTGCACAAATATTTTTATGCCAAGGTTCAAGTTATGCTGGTCTTTAATTAATATTTTTTCTCTGCAGGTTCAGAATGCCTGGCGGGCGAACGCCTCGGCCGTTCTCATTTACAACGACAGAGATACTACTGTGTTGGAAAAGATGAAACTATCAGTGAATAATGGACGTAAGTAAAGATATATACATCTTCTTCTATCTCGCAATTTCCCAGCTTTAGCCAGGGTCTGTGTTATATGTTGTGAATAGTTTTGGCTAATTGTTTTTACGATCGCCTGCCTGACATCAACCCTCTTTGGGTATGCATTAATCAGTGACGTCTAAATACTCTTAGAAAGTACATATGACTCTGAAAAATCACATTGGTACTTGCCAGGATCAAACCCGCGCCCTCATACATGAGAGGCGAGCCTTTTAACCACTAGGCCACCACTGACATTCAAAGATAATAATCATACATATATGTACATATATAAATATAAAGAAAGTTATGTTAGTTACACTATTTATAACTCAAGAACGGCTGTACGGATATGGTTGAAAATTGGTGGGGAGATAGCTTAGAACCAGGAGACGGACATAGGACATATTTAATTCTGTTCAATAAGAAAGAAAACATATATAAATTCCAATATCTAGTTATTTACGGCCTCTAGAGCGGAATAGACTTCGCCCGGTCAGCTATACATACATTACTAATGGTGAAATTAACGCGGACGAAGTCACGGACAAAAACTAGTATATTATTTAATTTATAAAGGGTAAGGCTTATTGTTTGTCTCTCTTACATATATTAATTTGGTTTTTAAAGTAATTAAAAATTATCATCAAAAATAGTTATAGCTTGTAAAACATATGACATTTATCATAATAATAATAACTTTTTTATCAGAAATCGGATTCCATAACTGAGTCGAATCGATAAAAAGAATCAAATATCGTTTTATAAAAACTCGTATATATTGCAATCTTTAGATATCTTTATCATAACACCCAAAAATCTTTGTTGTTTACATTTTTGATAATAACCGCGAAAATCATTTTAAATAATCATAAAAAAAGAAAATCAACAAAGTAACGTCCAAAATTGAACCTTATTATTTATATAAACGGTTCATTTTTAATTAAAACAATATATAAAGTCGAGTTTTTTTAGGTCTAAGTAGTACGTCATAGATTATTCCATAAATAATATAAAACCTTTTTATATTAACCATAACTTAATAAAATGATATTTTTGTTATTCTTTAATAAATAACAAAATATGATTAATATTCTCATTTGACTTCACTGCCCGCTAAAACTTGTTATTGACCGTACAATGCACATGTATAGAACAGAGGTGGCCTAATTAATATAAATGGCGCCTCTATAACTTGATAACTCTTCGCTATACGAAGTTATTAAATTATAATAGTACAAATAATAATTCTTCAGGAATAAAAAGGAGAAATGAGGTGAAAAGTTATAGAAAAAAAATAGCAAAAAACTTCTTTTGGAGTTGTTTTTTCAGAATGTTATTATACATATCATACACTAGTATGTTATATTATATCATGTCAATATTTAAGGAGAATACTCGGTACATGATTCTCATTCGAATGATGTAAAAAAATAGGTACTTAATTTTTGACCAAATTTCCGTATAAATAAATAAAGTGTGGACACGTTCCAAGTGTTCCAAGTGTGGACGCGTGCGGCGGCGTGCTGATACAACACCACGCCGCCGACGCGTGTGTGTGTGTGTGTGTGTGTGTGTATACCTAATCTGTAGGGTGTTCATAGGATGCGTAATTAATTACATAACTTTTGGTTAACTTTACTTAGAAGTTTATTAATATTTATGTTATATTAATTTTTATTTTGTCATATATGATCGTCAAATATCACGTCCTCAAGTATCGATAGTAATTCACCAGTCACCCTGTATACACATATATACACACAAATATACACACATATATACAGAGATATATGTATAAAGTAACCAACCAGTAGCGACATCTATAGTCCGTTTCACATGACTTCATACTAAATACTACATTATACCGCTTGATACTACAGTAACTATCAGGAATTTCTAAATAAAGTATAGCCTATATCTGATTTTATTATCCGGGTTGCGTTCCTGTTAAAGTTTCATCAAAATTAATTTAATACATTTTGCGAGAAAGAGCAACAAACTTCTATACGTCCCAAAAAACTTTCACATTAAAATTTTCATTATAAAAACATGTTTGATATTAATAATCAACTGACATAACGAAATTAATATTATGTACATATAATATTATGAATATAAAAAATAGAAATAAAATCAAATGTACCTATGTTGTTCTTCAAGGAAAATACACTTTAGTTATTAAAATATAAAAGCCTATTTTTAATATGAATTAAGAATTATTTCTTAAGTATTTATGATATATATATATATATATATATATATATATATATATATATATATATATATATATATATATATATATATATATATATGTGTTGAGAGTCGAATAACTTTTACTATTATGTTCTTAACCACAAACTCGAGTATTCTTGCATCGGCCTTTCTATAAGCATGTTTTAACCAACTTTCTAATATGGCCCAGCAGCTACTTAATCATTTTGCTATATATGTATATATATATTATAAATTATGACATATTGTTTTAACTATCACAAAATGACAATGCACCTTCCTTAAGCAGATACATTTATATAACGATAAAATATATAAATAAATAGAAATATATGTTTTTATTTTACACCGGTTAAATCATTTTATATATATCATATTAAAAATTGTATTTAATAAATGCAATGGTTTGTGTATATATCATGTAAACTGGTTATTATTAATTAAAATTTTGTATAAATGTGCAAATAAAAATATGCATCTACGAAATTTTTTTTAAGAAGAGGTAAAAATCTGTTGATTAAGCAATAATTTATTCGAATCATTTTTAATGTTTAATTAATCTTTATTATTTTATATGTAATATATTTTGGAATACCTTATCTTTTACCTTTTATTATTTACGCGTCGTATATAAATACTACGACAACATTTTTTTTTATTGTTTTAAGATGTAAATGCATTTGAAACATAAAAATTAAATTAAATTTCAATATTATATAAAATAAGTATAACACCTACATATTCACCTGGCATCAGCTGTTGAATGAATATTGAGTAATTAAATAAGGGATTAATCATATATCTATAAAACAGAAAGTTATGTTAGTTACACTATTTATAACTCAAGAACGGCTGTACGGATATGGTTGAAAATTTGTGGAGAGATAGATTAGGACCAGGAGACGGGAATAGGCGAGAATTTTTTTTTATAAATTCAATATCTGGTTATTTACGGCCTCTAGAGCGGAATAGAGTTCGCCCGGTCTCATACATAATACATATATTACTAATGCTAAAACTAACGCGGACAAAGTTGCGGACAAAAACTAGTATATATACATGTAAACACACTACAATTATATAAGGCGTCCATGAAGCCAGTTGTAATGTGGCTTCCCTTACCCATGAACTGGTATAAAAGCATTAATATTACGCAATACTTGACACTGGGCAGACCCTGGCTAAAGCTGGGAAATTGCCAGGAAGAAGAAGACTTGACACTGGCCCATCATCACTTCTCATCACTGATGATGATTCATTAGGTGATAAAGATTCTCAACACTATATAGTATAGAATAGAATTTAATTGACAAACATAATTGATTACTATATGTAGTTGAAATAATATGATTAAATACTTTATCTGCATATACGATACTTAGACTTTTTAAATCGAGAAAATTTTAAGGAAATTCTTTCGAGTTTTTTCAATAACTTAATTTAAATGGTTTTTAACAAAAAAAAAGCATGTTAAAGTCAAAAGTAGCGATAGAAAAATATACATACTTAATTAATATCTCGTGAAATATTAATATATTTAAATATCAATATTATGTAATCCAAAACAAAAGAATGTATCAAATGCGATAAAAAAAAATGTGGGAAAATTTCATTTAAAGATTAAATTCTTCAAATAATTGTATTCCAAATTCTCGTATGATAAAAAAATAATATATTTTCTTTTAAATTAAATATTCAGTATGTATAATTATCATGTTCATTAAATTATGTGTACGAAATAAAAAAATGACCCCATCGCGAAACACTTGAGATAAAATACATATTAATATATAACAATTACCACACACAGAATGTATCACGTATTCCCAACAGAATCACCTTTCGTCATCAATCGTTATCAGCAATGATAACATGTGATAGCGCCGCAGATAATTTGTTGTTTTTGTAATAATTGTTTCATAATTATTTTTATAATAACTCACGTATGTTGTGTAGCGACAAGTCTCTGTCGTGACATGTGCAGATAGCGGTTTCATTTTTGTTTAATGATAAAAAAGATTACGTCATTGTTCTCTTATTATTATGATGGCGAAAGTTTTTAAGAGTTTACTCATCAAATAGGCTAGTCATAGTGGCTTAGTGGTTAAAAGCCCGCCTCTCATGCACGAGTGCGCGGGTTCGATCTTGGCCCGGGCAAGTACCAATGTGATTTTTCCGAGTCATATGTACTTTCTAAGAGTATTTAGACATCACTGATAAATGCATTCCCAAAGAGGGTTGATGTCAGGCAGGCGGCCGGTTGTAATAACAATTAGCCAAAACTATTCACAACATGTAAGGCAGATCCTGGCTAAAGCTGAGAAATTGCCAGCTAGAAGAAGAAATAGGCTAGGATTATCCACCCATCTATCAAGTATACGGGAAATCTAAATCAAAAAAATTTTGATATTATTGACAAAATACTCAATGATTTCATACGATTTTCCCTCCAATCTTGATTCGAATTTCAAATTAGATTCCAATAATTCCATTTCCATTCCATTAAATATTTGGTATTCCATATTCCAGGTAACATTAGCGCGGTTTTCACATACAAATGGAAAGGCGAGGAGATCACCCGTTTAGTTGATAACGGGACTCGCGTGATGATAGCTATTATCAAGGGAAGAACATTGACTCATATCAACAGCAACATCAATAAGTACGTATTAATTAAAATATTTTATGACTTACAACCTGCGACTCAGTTAATGTATTGGCGCCACTTGTGCGAATGAGCTATCGTGTCTAGTGAATAGTGAATTTTGATTTTTAATATGTATATTTATTTATTTTATTTTCATGTAATATTTTTATTATAATTTAAATAATATGCTCTTTTTTACTCGTTTTAATTTTTTAATTTTTCTGTTTTATTCTCAATATATTATACGTAAAGCATGTAATAAAAACAATAATTATACAGTCGATGCTTTACTTTATATTTCTTAAATAATAATATTATTAAGTACATATATATATAATTTCTGATACATTTATTTGTTATTTTAATTTGCATCACTGAATCAGCGTCAGCGAGACGAGTACTATATCCTCGTACGTACAAATACAATACAAACGCCAGGCTGAATAAATAAAACCATTGCATTATTGATGTAGAAAGAATAAAAAAAAAATAACTGTCAACTGTCAAGTAAAAGCTAGACATATAATTATATCATTATTTTATAGTATTTATATATATTATATTCATTTTTGTAGTTATAATGATAATTAAATACGCCAGTTATTTTCACACCTAACAAATGATATGTGTGTTTACAAGAGAGCAGTGTGTTAGTGTGTTTGTGTGTGTGTGTTTGTGTATGTGTGTGTGTGTATAATTTATTTGTATTACTTGCAGGACATCAGTTCTATTCGTGTCGATATCCTTCATAGTGCTGATGGTGATATCTCTCGCTTGGCTCGTCTTCTATTATATACAACGCTTCAGATACATACACGCTAAGGACAGACTGTCGGTTAGTATACATAATACATATATAATAATGTGTACATAGCCTAATATATAAATAAACATTAATTCCCAAAGAGGGTTGATGTCAGGCAGGCGGCCGGTCGTAAAAACAATTAGCTAAAACTATTCACAACATATAAGGCAGACCCTGGCTAAAGCTGGGAAATTGCCAGGAAGAAGAAGCAAAAGAAGCCTAATATATGTATAAATAAACAATTAATCAAATTCAAATGTCTGTTTATAACATTAAAATAAACGCCATTTGTTTTTGTTTGTTTGTTCCTACCAATCTCTGAACGGCTGCGTCAATTTAGACGGAACTTTCACTGGATGATAGATGATATATGTATTAGAAATAATGTAGCTGTTTAATGAATAAGCGCAGAGGAAGTTGCGAGCACATTAAGTGCGTGATGATATAATAATTTGAATTAAATTAGTATATATATATATATATATATATATATATATATATATATATATACATATATATATATATATACAGGGTGACTGGTGAATTACTATCGATACTTGAGGACGTGATATTTGACGATCATATATGACAAAATAAAAATTAATATAACATAAATATTAATAAACTTCTAAGTAAAGTTAACCAAAAGTTATGTAATTAATTACGCATCGTGTGAACACCCTACAGATTAGGTATACACACACACACACACTCGCGCGCGGTGGCGTGGTGTTGTATCAGCACGCCGCCGCACGCGTCCACACTTGGAACACTTGGAACGTGTCCACACTTTATTTATTTATACGGAAATTTGGTCAAAAATTAAGTAACCTATTTTTTTTACATAACTCGAATGAGAATCATGTACCGAGTATTCTCCTTAAATATTGATAGTAATTCACCAGTCACCCTGTATATGTACTCAATTATTGTCTGTTTGCGTCAAACGATTCTTTGCTCTAGACATAATTAACATAGGGTACATATTTCATTAGATTTTATTACATATATAAATACGTTAAACTTATTTTTTTTCTTTAGTTATCAACTTACAAGTCAATATATATTTTACATATTTTGTTCATTGTTTAACGTCACGGGTACGTTCGAAACATTTAAACAATAGAAAAACACGTTAACGCTAGTTAAGATAAAATTTTATAGATATCGCATTGTTTCTGCGTATTATTTATAGATATAAATTCAATTAGCTACATTATAACGGTTAAAATCATTGTTTTGTATGTTCTTTTTCTTCTTCCTGGCAAATTCCCAGTTTTTAGCCAGGGTCTGCCTTACATATTGTGAATAGTTTTGGCTAATTGTTTTTACGACAGGCCGCCTGCCTGACATAAACCCTCTTTGGGAATACATTAATCAGTGATGTCTAAATACTCTTAGAAAGTACATATGATTTGGAAAAATCACATTGTTACTTGCCAGGATCGAACCCGCGCCCTCGTGCATGAGAGGCGGGCCTTTAACCACTAAGCTACTCACTAAATCTATGAAAATATAAAAAAAATACCAAAAATCTTTATGTTTTTCAGAAGCGGCTCTGCTGTGCTGCTAAAAAAGCATTGTCCAAAATACCTGTAAGAAACCTAAAGGTTGACGATAGGGTGAGTACACATTAATATAACATATTACTTAATAATCTCTACTAATATTATAAATGCGAAAGTAACTCTGTCTGTCTGTCTGTTACGCTTTCACACCTAAACCACTCAACTGATTTTAATGAAATTTGGTACAGAGATAGTTGACCTTGAGAAAGAATATAAGATAGTTTTTATCCCAGACTTCTGAAAAGTTCTCTTGGAAACACGATATAACCGAACTGATGCGGGCGAAGCTGCGGGCAGAAAGATAGTTTTATATAAAATATTACACAGTATAAGTTCACATAAACTACATACAGATAGTATAATGTTTTTCATTCTTACAACCGTTAATACTATTAAGTGCAAAGATTCATCTATAAATTTACTTAATATTAAAATATTTTTTTATCATACAAAAATAAATAATCTATTTAAATTCCTTTATTATTGTACCGTCATCTGCCTAACAGAGCCTACTGCTAAGCAAAGGCCTCTTCTCACATGAAAGATTAGAGCATTAATCACCACGCTTGCTCAATCATTATATATTTTACATAACTTTATTAAGTTTTTAATATAAATATATAATGTATTTTTTTTCAGGAGGTTCAAGGTGATGGTGAGTGTTGTGCGATTTGTATCGAGCCTTACAAAGTATCGGAAACATTAAGATCTTTACCATGCAGGTATGTTATAAACAAAACAAAATAAACTAGACTTAAATAACCACTTAGACTAGACTGATAGACTTATTTGACAAATCCTAGACTAGTTCAGACTTATAAACAATTTTATATTGCTTAGATTAGACCATTAAATAATTAATAGCTCAATCTAGACTTTATTATAAGTTATTTTTTATATACTTATTCAGACTAGACTAGTCTCTAAAACATTCTATGAATTTTAAAAAGAAATATTCATAAAAATTAAGTATATGTAATTTAATCTAATAAATCATTTTTTTATTATTATTAAACTCTTATTTTACTATAGCATTTCTGTTAAACATGAATGAATGAATGAATATGAATGTATGAATGAATCCTAATTGTATATATAACTTCATTTTCAGGCATGATTTCCACAAGAGCTGTATCGACCCATGGTTACTTGAACACCGCACCTGTCCCATGTGTAAGATGGACATACTCAAATATTATGGATTCGTGGTGAGTTGTTATATATCTTTATATATATAATTCTTCTGTAAGTGTGTATGTCACTGAACTTCTCTCAAACGACTGAACCGCTTTCTATGAAATATTTTGTGTGTGTTCAAGGGGATCTGGGAATGGTTTAGATTCACAATTTCGTCCGCTGGACAATGTTTTTTTAATAATTTTTTTAAATTATTAGTAGTTGTTGATACAAACGTTTTTTTGACATTAGATTTGACAACTAACTAATATGAAAATCGTTCTGTAGCACTTGAAAACACGGAGAATTATGGCTTTAATAGGTAAACTCCAAAAATATAAATAAAAAAACGTTACAGATATTTCTTGATTAAATGTCTATACGAGGTTTGCCGGGTCTTCTACATAGTACATATAATTATTTTATTTTTCTAGTCTTATGAGCACTGTTTTAAAATTAAATATATTTTTATGACTTTCTAGTTATTAGACAAGCATGTAGTTGTTACCTTTAATAAGACTATGGAAAAAAATTCTGTTATAATATTGCAATCACATGAAAAAATAGGAATATTTACCTGTATGTAATATAATGAAATAATTGTTATTTAAATTTTGATAAATGTAAAATATTATGAAATGTAACCCTGTTAATTATGATTTCTGAACGTATCTCTAATGTCAGTTTTTCTTTGTCATATAGTTTACAGGAAGTCAGGAGAGTATTTTGCAGTTAGAGGCAGAAGACGCCCGCTCCACGCTCAGCCCCGCCACCAACAGGCACCCGCTCACACTTGTCAGTATACATTGTATGTTTGTCTGTCACCAACCATTCAGTAACTACTGAACTGATCTAAATAAACTTATAAATATACATGAAATACTTCATTATCATTGGGGATAGTGCAAATCCGCGTAACTACCATTGGATAATTCTGTATATCTACATTGGAAGCAGATTATCAGAAGAAATTTTGAGCTGAAATATTTTCTAAATTAACGATTTTTAAAGAATTTTTTCACAGTTACTAATAAGTTACTGATTAAAAACACTAAATAATTACTAATTGTGAAAAAAAATTCCTTAAAAATCGTTAATTTAGAAAATATTTCAGATCAAACTTTCTTCTGATAATTTTCGTCAGATGTAGATACGCGGTAGTATCAAATGGTAGTTACGTGGATTTGCACTATAACGAACGATAGTATTTGCATTCACATATAGTTTACACTACTGACTGGAAAAAAAAATAATTCACACAATATGTTTAACAAAAATACAAACAAGAGATCGAACAAAACATAATTTATTTACATATTATAACTTTTGTAACAGAAAGCCTCGCATGTAATATGCTCTACTTAATGCACACATGTAATATGCTCTACACATGTATGTATGTTCGTTAGTTACAGAACGAGTCGTCGTACGAGGAGGCGGGCAGCGAGCGGAGCAGCCGGGCGGCGTCACCCGACAGGCTCGTGAGGAACGAGATGAATGAAGACAGGTTGGAATGATAAAATACTAGGCCTCATTCACTCACTCACACACTCACGCCTTCACTAAGGAATTGGCTTTAGATATATCCATAATTTCTTCTGAGTAATAAGATATGCGCTATAAGGAATAAATTATATCATATTAATTTATTTACTTTATATTTATTTTTGTATATATAATTAAAACTAAACAATCAAATAAATAAATTTAAATTAATACCTCTTGCTCACAAAAAAAGCCCTGGAAAATTTTTTTTTTTTTTCTTTAGATGACAATGCATAATATTATATTTTATTCCTATGTTATTCCGATATTATTAACATGTTTCTGGAGACTTCGAAATCCGTTCAGAAATTAATTACTGAGACAGTAACACTCATGCTTATAGTCTAATATTGTTTGTTAATCTTAATACAGAACTCATTTGTCAGATGTTTTTACTGGTTGTATAATACAAATTCAAGATGAATACCTCATTTTTAAAACTTGCCTCATATATTTCTATATATATTCCAGGTCGTGCGTGTCCTCTCCCTCGCACGTCGACCGCCCGCCCGCGGAGCGCCGCGACTAACATGTGTTCATACATTCAATACTCACACGAGATGACTTCCAGTGATGCGTGATTGATATCAAGTGATATTTTTATTATAGTGACTCTTTACTAGTAACTAGTTTAGAACACCGCGACTCCGCCTAGTCAACCTCCTTCCGAGAATTAAAAAAATATAATATTTGAAAATGGAATTCGGTCGTTCATACGGCGAGCCTCAGTTCGGACGGTGGGATTTTAAAAATGGAACACATTGTACGAGTAACGAGTGTCATCGATGACGTCATCGTACACTGCACCAGAAGACGGAATTAAATATGCCATAATAGACTTAATATTTGTAGATCTTTTTGTGCAGTTTCTTTTCGAGCCAAAATTCTGCTTTAGTTTGTTTGATCTCATGACCGTGTCGATGATTTCATTATAATTCACGTATGTTCGTAACTATGGTTGTGGTGGCCCTTTACTTAATAGCATTGACCGTCCGTCCATTGTCGATTGTTCTTCATATAGTAGCCTATACTATTCAAAATGTTTTCCGAGCATGCTAACATAAAACATTTAACTTTTAAAATATATTTAACCGATTTTTGTGTGTCTAGGCTAGGGCTTAGTGGTCTGCTCGATGGACGGGTGCGTCGTGTTTGTTTTCGGACGAGGAATGTACTTTATGAGCTTATTTTTCGCCCTAACACGAACATTTGGCTCACAGAAGCCGCTTATTTCTCCAATGATTTCTTAATATAGCGTCGTGAGAGTTCGTGACCCATCCGTCTATAGAGCGATCTTCAAACACAACCCGTTTTTCAGTTGCTAGGAACAGCGGTAGACTGTAATTTAATTTCGTGGCTCTAAACGGTAGTTAATAAAATCTAGTCTGAATTCATCTACGAATTATATCGCTTCGAGACCTATGTACCTAAATGTGCCTAAATTTTTTGGTTCTATTTACACTTTTGACCAAAGTCCACAATGAAAGCGATGTTATTCGTTATAATTATTTTTATAGTGATAAGTTTTATAAGTGAGCATTTAAGTTATTACTTACGATACCATTTAAGGTACTTATACTATATATATTAACAAGGAGACTGGTATGTACTTTATATTCAGATATCGTTTAAAAATATATTTACATTCCCTTCATAGAAATGTTCTTAACAGTACCCGAGAGTGTACATCGTGTCAGTGGCGTGCACACGAACATGGAAAATATATTGTTAAAATACTAATCACATCAATTTACATCAAAATTTATGTTGTATTCGAAAATATATTTGTATGTGTAAAAACCTAGACATATTAGAGTTTGTAAGTCAGTACTTGTTTACCCGATTCATTTAAGAAGTCATCAAAACTATTACTGTACTCTTGTGTAAAATGACTTTTTATTTTGGTCGGTTTATCATTTAAACTTTTATCGCTAGTATGTTGTGATCATTTTAAATGCTAGTGAATAAATTGTTATTATATTAGTGATATTATTAATGAACTGTGCTGGTAAAGTTTCTAAATTAAATACGACCATACCATTTTTGTCACCTGTGCGCGCCCTGCATCTTGTGTTGAATTAAAAACCAATACAGTATTTATATCAGACTTTTATTTTAATGATGCTAAACCTATTTACAGACCAGAACTAATTTTACAATCACAATTCTTTTCCCTTAATCTGTATAAGATATAACATTCCTATTGTTCAGTAACAATGGAAAAAGTACCTAATTAATTTAATATCTTCCCAATAATACACGGTACTACAAATATAATTGAAATACTTCGTTTTAAACAAAAAAAATAAGCAAGTAAGCTTCTATTATAGTATACAGGTGAGATATAGAAATTGTTCTATTAAGATTAACTTAATTGTTACTTAAATTCTAATAACACATTGGAATTATTTTAGTGAATATTGATGTTTTCTTTAATGATATTGAAGTTTATTTTTATTTCATTTATCCCATAGTCCAGCTTCTTTCATCTTGGCCTGGAAATATTTTTCCAGTGTGTTTGCACATCTGTAACAACAATAATAATATATAGATCATACAAATGCAAAATATGTAATATGAAACCAAGAGTGTATTATCCAGTATACTTAATTCTATGGAAGAATAGGCAAAGTTTTGTTAATAATATGTGTTCAAAATCCTGTCAATGATATGATGATATAAGTTATTTCTGTTTTTTTTAATTATAATTTATGTACACAGATTTATAATTAGACATATTTGATCTGCAACTATAATCAGAAAAAAAGTCGTCAAACTGATACTTAGTACATATATTAAATTTATATATCTGTATGAGATTTTTATTATTTATATTTATGTATATACCTATAATAGTCTGTGTCGGGTGAATTGTACAGTCTACAGTTTGAGAAGATCCGCGCCATATCAGCTACGAAGAGGCGTCGGGACGAATAATAACGAGACTTAAGACGCTCACCCATTGTACGGAGATCTACACATATAGAACAATTATACATAAGCATATTTGTATACAAAAAGTACTACAAATAAATATATGACAAAGATATTTTTTTGTAATTATATTCACCCATCGGATATTTAATGTGATCGTAATAGTCTGGTACTTCTGTTTTATCGACCGGCTTCAAGAACGGCCAGGCTGACGCGTGGTTCTTTACCTGTAGTAAAATATAATATAAATACAGCTGCGTGCAAAAGTATTAGGCACCCCTATTGTTAGTCACTATCTCATTAGATAGCGGTCAAGTGTGTGTTTTAGGGTTTAGCTATTGTATTAGCGGCAATTTTTAACCAAATTAAGGTAAAAGAAAATATTTATGACATCCAGGTGTGCTCCTAAGCGGTGTTTCTTCGAATTTGCTTTTTTTGCGTTTCGGGTTATAGTGTGTTATCAGTGGTTGCAGTGAACATACACGTCTTCTACGCAACTATTCCTATCACAATTCTAAAGACTAACATTTAACGTGTTAATCATGCCGAAAAAATCTGAACTTAATGCTGAACAGCGTCTAAGAATTAAGATTTTACATGAACAAAGCATGTCTCAGGTTAAAATAGCCCGAGAAGTGAAGTGCTCGCGATGTGCAGTTCAATATGCTATAAATCGCTTCAAAGAGACTGGCACCCATGAAAATAGACCAAGAACAGGCAGAAGAAAAGTTACTACTGAACGGGAAGATCGATTGTTGATTAGGCAGTCTCTACAAAACAGGAAAAAAACTGCTTTAGAGCTCGCTGCAGCATTATCTGAGGCAAAAGGCAGCTCAGTGAGTGTTTATATTGTGAGAAGAAGACTTCTTAAAGCTGGATTAAAAGGATGTAAAGCAAGGAAGAAGCCGTGGCTGTCAGAACACAATAAGAAAAATCGGTTGGAGTGGGCACTCAAACACAGAGATTGGTCAGTGGAAGATTGGTCCAACATACTGTGGCCAGACGAATCTAACTTTGAGGTATTGTTATTTATTTTATGTACAATATTAAAACACATAAATGATTTTAAAATAACGTACTGCAAGAAAAATAATATCTTTGAAAATAAATGGTTTTTTTCGTTTGGCATAGGTGTTTGGAACACCCGGTGTGACTTATGTTAGGCGAAGGGTTGGCGAAGAATACAACCCAGAATGTGTGGTTCCCACTGTTAAGCATGGTGGAGGCTCAATAATGATTTGGGGCTGCATGGCTGCCGACGGAGTGGGCGAAATGGTGTTGTGTGAGGGACGAATGAATAGTGTTAAATACACTGAAGTTCTGGAAACAGCACTAGCAACTTCGATAACGCAAATTTTCGGTGATACAAACACCGATGGCCTGAAATTTCAGCAAGACAACGCCACTTGCCACAAGTCCGCGCATACCATGAAGTGGTTTGCTGAAAATCATATTGATCTTTTGGACTGGCCACCACAATCACCAGACCTCAACCCGATTGAGCATATTTGGTCCATTTTAAAGAAAAATATCCGCAGGCACTCGATTAGCAACAAACAAGCTCTATTGGCCGCGTTACAGCAGGAATGGAAAAATATATCAAGAGAAGAATGTTTCAGGCTGGTAGAGTCAATGCCAAAAAGAGTGGCTGCGGTTATTAAGTCAAAAGGTGGACCTACAAAATATTAATTATTTTCTTAAAATAAACCATTGTAATCATAAATGCAGTTTTATTTACACTCGCTATGCTAAAACACCCTAAAACTTGTCTTACTGTAGGGTGCCTAATACTTTTGCCCGTGGCTGTATCTAAAACATAACAAAAATTATAAATGTGATAGTTTTCAATTATTACTATTATCAAATAACTACTTAATTGTATGTGTATCGATTTATATGATCAGACCTTAACTCATTTTTGATTTTTTTTATAATAGTCCAACTTAAATCTGCAGAGCTTTCCACAAATTAGAAGCATAAAATGTATTCTATACATTAAAAGGACCTAATTATTATATCTCGCTCTCTCTGCCTAGTCTTTTCCCATTTCAATTGGGGTCGGCGACCTAATTGGTATATAATATATATCAAGTCAGTAGTGGCCTAGTGGTTAAAGGGCCCGCCTCTCGTTGCCGAAGGCGCGGGTTCGATCCTGGCCCGGGCAAGTACCAATGTGATTTTTCCGAGTCATATGTACTTTCTAAGAGTATTTAGACATCACTGATTAATGTTGATCCCAAAAAGAGGGTTGATGTCAAGCAGGCGGCCGGTTGTAAAAACAAATAGCCAAAACTATTCACAAACATGTAAGGCAGACCCTGGCTATAGCTGGGATATTGCCAGGTAGAAGATATTAGTAATATATTTATTATCTGACCGCTGTGAGTACAGATCGTAGCGCCGCGTGGTTGTCATCACCGTCTACGGGAGGGCGGCTCCTCACCTCCCGCCAGCCAGCCTCCCGTGCGCCCGGGACGCACTCCACCGGGATACTGCGAACCTGGAGCATAGAACGGAAGAGTGGGGATTAAAGAGAGATAGAAATATGTATATACATATATAGTGTGCGAGCGTGATAGAAATACAGAGGGAGGGATAAAGGATAAGAAATAAGTTTTTATTTGACATTTACTACTAGCTTCTGTGTGAAATGATTTACGTGTATCAACTAATATTAAAGTATATGATAACAATACTTACGCCTTCCTTGAAACACGTCAATCCAGGATTGATCTTCCGCACTTCCTTCTGACGCATGTCTATTAATTTCTTGACTATCTAAAATTCACAATTCTAAATTAGTTATTGAAGATTTATTTTCTGTTTTGGTAAATATATATTAAATTCTTATGTTATAAACATGTGATTCGTGAAGTAGCACCACCAATTTACTCCACTAACTGAGTTTTAGCAGTGTCTCGGTACTAACAAAACTAAACTCCATATTTAATAGGAGAGATCAAGTTTATCATTAAAATAATATATTATCATCCACCTTAAGCATTTTACAATATTTTTTATGTTCCTATACCTCTTTCTGTGTCCGTATAACAGAAGTGAACTTTGTGTACACGATGCGAGGGTTCAGTTCACAATGCATCAACGTCGCTCCTTCATAGTCCTTGATGTATCCGGAGTACATCGCTCGAGGGAGCTTGATATCTTTACTGAAACCCTGCTTCTTGAAATAACCTGAAATAGAATAAAAACATTAGTTAATGGAATATGAATCTTATTATTTAGTTTCGAAGGTTTAAATTAGTTAACTAACATGTTATATATATTTTAAATGTTTATTTTATATGACAGAAATATGTATTTAACTGTTCGTTAGAAAATAATTATGAAATGAGACAAAACCTCTCATTATGTATCGTATTACATGGATTCACAGTGCGGGCGCCGCGTCCATCGCATAATATTTAATAAAATTATATATGAATACTAACCAATGGCAAATTCATCGGCGAATGTCAAAAAATGTAAAATATTATTCCTGATGTGATAGTCCTTCAAGTGGTTCATGAGATGCGTCCCGTAACCTTTGACCTGTTCGTTAGAAGTCACCGCGCAGAACACTATCTCACTGAAACCCTGTAATATATAAAAAGTTGATTAATATTGTTATAAATGACATAGTACAATAGAATACTATGATGGAGTCTGATTATATACAGGGTGACTGGTGAATTACTATCAATATTTGAGGAGAATACTCGGTACATGATTCTCATTCGAATTATGTAAAAAAAATAGGTACTTAATTTTTGACCAAATTTCCGTATAAATAAATAAAGTGCAGACACGTTCCAAGTGTTCCAAGTGTGGACGCGTGCGGCGGCGTGTTGATACAACACCACGCCGCGCGCGCGTGTGTGTGTGTGTGTGTGTGTGTATGTATACCTAATCTGTAGGGTGTTCACACGATGCGTAATTAATTACATAACTTTTGGTTAACTTTACTTAGAAGTTTATTAATATTTATGTTATATTAATTTTTATTTTGTTATATATGATCGTCAAATATCACGTCCTCAAATATCGATAGTAATTCACCAGTCACCGTGTATAAAATAGTAATTTAAAAAATATTACAATTTTTATTGATTAATAATTTTAAATGTCTTTATTTTTCCATAAGTATCACATGTATAATATACTTTTTTTATAAATCTTAAATAATTTCATTCAAGTTGTCACACATCAACTCTTCTATTTCATATCATTCATGACTACTTGTTCCTTTGAGTCTATAATATATGTACATAATTTTTTATTACTCAAATTAAAATTAATTAAGAAAAAAGCATGTTTTGGATGATATATTTAATTTATCAAATTGATATGGTACCTGTGAGTGGAATGTTCTGAAACAGATGCCGCCTATCGGTCGACCTTCTTTGATTAACGCCAGGGTTTTGTGTTTCCTGTAATTTATATATTATAATCATTACAAATAATGTTTTTTTGTTTATACAGGACATTATGCTTTTTTTAGTAAGTTTTATAACTTTTTTATATGATTATAATTAATTAAATATATTTAATATATAAACTCACGGGTCAAAGACAAGCTGTGATATATACTCCTTGGTCATTTCAGGCAGCTGATGAGAAAACACGTTGTGTAAACCTGGAACAACATACAGATATACAAGTTAGTAATATTCAACATTCATATTTATATTATGACTACATACTATTTTGAGCAGATATTCCCTATCTTGGATGCAAAAGGTAAAATCTCCTTAAAATTATCTTCAAAGATAAAAAAGGCTTAGTATTCTAAATCACCTTAATAATTTACGGGAAATGTATAGAATATATTCATGGGTCAAGATTTACTTGCTATTGACTCTATGATAGTTCCTAGTAAAGCTTTAAATTAAATTAAATACTTAAACAGATGGTTTAAGTATTTTATTCGAAAATATTATTAATATTCCAGATATAAAATATTATTACTATCCAACTAATATTATAATTGCAAAAGTTTGTGAGTGTGTATGTATGTTTGTTACTTCTTCACGCTCAAACAGCTGAACCGATTTTGATAAAATTTTGTATAAAGGAAGCTGACGTCCAGGAATAACACAGGCTACTTTACATCCCGGAAATCCGCGGGTAACACCGTGGGGCGCAGCTAGTATATAATAAACGTGGATACTGTCAGTATTTACGTGACCCCTCGTTCTAAGTCAACTCACCAATGAGCCACAACATGGTCTGTTTATTAACAGGTCCAGTCAGTGAGTTCCCTATCACATGGAATTCTATCAGCTTCCGTTGTTCCTCCAGCTTGGCGGCCTCGTCTCGAGGGGCTTGCATTTGAAACAAAGCCTGGAAACATAATATAGCTATGTTTTATTCACCATACAATATCCGTCATTAGACTCCTATCTTGATCAAATTTTAAGTTATACCACATTGAAAACAATATTTTTTTATTATTAGAAGCTCCATCTATTCTGTGTAATGTAAACTGTGATTAAAATTCAGTCAGCATATTTTGATTTTTATTTTTTCTTTGGACATGAATGTAACTATTAATTGAAGTAACACAATTATTTATAAACCAATCTATAGATAAGTTTGTCTGTGTATGTAAATTTCTACTACTATTAACCGAAAGCCAAACATACATTAACTAATAAAAAAGTATAATTAAGGTGTGGTTGTAATATATAAAAAACGATTATTACTTTATGTCTAACCAAGTTAACACGGTACATAATACACATACACTACTTATAAAATCGTCTGCACCAATTTTGACGAGACTTTCAGAAGCAGAGAGATAGATGTCAAAGCTACTATAATTTTATAAAATTATAACATATATATTGGTACCAATAATTATCAGAAGAAAGTTTGAGCTGAAATATTTTCTATATTAACGACTTTTAAAGTAATTTTATCACAATTAGTAATCATTTAGTGCTCCTGATAATCTGCTTCTAATGTAGATACGCGGAATTATCCAATGGTATTCACGCGGATTTACGCTAACCCCGTATATATAGTTATTCTATCTATACATACATCGGGTCCACACATATAGTTGGGGTCAGTAATAGTGGCCACTATTTCCGCTACGGTTCTTTCGCTGACGTCATCATCAAGCCTCCTCCTCTTAGCAGCCACCTCACTAGACGCTCTACCATCGGACCTCTTAACAGCCTCCTGCTTTATTGATCCTGGAATATTAAGAAAAAGTTTTATCATTAAGGTTACAGCTAACTACGAAATTTACATTGGAATTGAAATGTAATAGAACATATATATGTATCCATACATCACTCATTAATTCATCGGAATAAGGACTTTATGAAGTAACATTTCTTTACGCACGCTTAACTTGGGAGTAAGCTGACGAAAGCGTTACGAAAAGTGTGATGGGGCGAGGCGAACGGAAGTTTGAGGGAGATATAAGTTAGTGAAGATAAATAGAGAATGTTAGTTATAAATTTTAAAATCTATATTTTGATGTTATTTGTATTTTAAACTAAGTTATATGATTATAAAATCTATTTATTTATTTACTGATTCCTTAATGAGATGTTATATGTATTACTAACCCGATGATAGTGTCACGGTTGTGAATCCGTCTTTACTTTCACCAGAAGCTGTGACACGTTCGAATTCACCACGCCTTCCAGCTAAAATGAAATATTATATTAACATATAAATAGAAACATTTATTAGTATATAAATAATAAACCTATGACAGTTTGTATTTTCTTGTTACATTTAAAGTCTTGACTTTAAGTATATATAAAATAAACAATAAAGAAATCCTAAAATAATATTAATTTTTAAAAATATTACATACTTTAGAAGCTAAACTTACGAGTTTTATTATCTAATATAGCCTGCAAATGGTTGGGCGGCATTTGTTTATAGTCGGGGTCCCATATTGGAGAATTCACACTGAAGATTTCTTCCTCTAATAAACCCAAAAATCTTGGGAAGTGATTCAAGACCAGAACCTGAAACATATATATAATAAGTTATATATAACCATAATAATGTTTTTAACATTAAAGCAAGGTGCAGCCAATAATTAATTTAATAATTCATATACATTAGCTTAATCTGGACCTGCAACTTCTAGAATATAGAAATCCAGCTTATATTTTTATTACATGTTCATATTTGAATTCAAAATTCATCAAAGAAGACCATAAATATATATCAACTAATGTAATTAACTCACCCTTTTCTCCGGAGGCATTCTATCTCTCTCCAAATGGCATTTATCCATGAGCTGTTTGCAAACAGATTTGAAAACAGCACGTAGTAATGTACGACCGAACACTACGGATGTCTCGTAGTGTGGAAGGGAATCACAGAATGCTGGGACATGACAGAACACCAACCACCTGGAAAGAAATGATACATACAGATGAATATTAAGAAGAATCTTGAGGGTTATATTACGATTAAAAAGCATTTAATAGTATAGGCAATACTATATATAACTTTCGGATTTAACATATGTATAAAGTTGAAATATAAGAAATTTCTATGTACATTTACTTTTAATATTACGGCCCTTAGACTCTTTTGAAAATGTTTTTAATAATATCATTGTGATACAATAAAAATTATAAAGAAATTACCAATATTTCTTCAAACTTATGATTTACATCTTAAATAGCAACTTCTAATATTGTGATCAATCCACTATACATTTTTTTATATCACATTTGGTTAAGTCTCACCTGGTATAGTTTATTTGATAAGCTGATATGTCATCTGGGTTTGAAACTTGCTGCAACCAAACATTTAGTATGTATTAACTCATAAATGTATAACATTTAAAGTCTGTGTTTCAAAGAATTTCTCAAAAGATATTAAAAATATTTGTATGAATGCAATATAATAGATGAATTAGAAGAATCCCAAAACTTAGTCAAGTAACATCTGATAGTAGATGTACAAAATAACTCACCATTTTCCTAACACTTGGTGTTTCAAAGTTCCAATGATTGAAGCAGTGTAGGAACATTTTTGCTAGATCATACATTGTCTGCCATTCTCTTTGTGGTAATGTATTGAACTTGTATAACACGAAATTTGTTATAGCTTTAGCTATGGACGGCCTCTCAAAGGGTGGCTGGCCTAAAGGACCTTCGATGCGAGGCTGGGAACGGGTTAGAATAGAATTCCTGAGAAGCTGAAAACAACAAGACAAACTGACATTATTTTATATTAAGACCAAAATATATTTTAAATTTCTCTCCTCCACATATTGTAGTGCATTTGTTCCTTCTATTATGTATATATATATCTTTGATTAATTATCTACATATAATGTAGATCAGCTACTTTTATATATAGGATATGTTATACCTCAAACTATTAGGGACCAGGTTAGCAATGTGCTGATTCTTATATTTTTTTCGTACTAATGTGTTGGCCTGGAACTTATAATACATATGTATGTACATATATACTTTTAAGTAAATCTCCATGTACCTTAAACAGATAGTAATAAACACGTTTTGTATCGTGATCATCTTCTCTGTGCATTGACATGAAGATATTCTCGACATCCACAACAGCCCCCAACAGTCTATTGACTTCGGCCACGGGAACACCTTTGAGTTGAGTTATATGGGACTCTGTAATCACAATTATTAAGTTTATATCAAAACAAGTTCTTAACATATATTTTCATTAATATGATTTCTTGAAGTCAGTGGCCTAGTGTTTAAAAGGCCCGCCTCTCATGCAAGAGGGCGCCGGTTGGATCCTGGCAAGTATCAACGTAATTTTTCCGAGTCATATGTACTCTCCAAGAGTATTTAGACATAACTGATTAATGCACTCCTAAAGAGGGTTAATGTCAGGCAGGCGTCGGTCGTAAAAACAATTAGCCAAAACTATACACAACATATAAGGCAGACCCTGGCTTAAGCTGGAAAATTGCCAGGTAGAAAAAGAGATTAATATAATATTTGATTTTTGATATGTTTAGTTGGGCATTCATCAATTTATGCACCACTGAATTTCTTTGGGTGGTCAGTTGAAGTAACCACTAAACAACAATTTATATTAACAGGACCCTATTTTGAAGTGATTGGTTTAAAAAGAAAACCTTGAACCTATATTAGGAAAGATATGGGAAACCTTTTGAAAAATATATTGAAACCTCATGAAATAATACATATGTTATTAATATAATGAATGTCATCAGCCTATCAGAAGCGCACTGTTGAGTAAGGCCTCTTTCTCACATGGAGAAGGTTTGAGCATTAATCACCACGCTTGCTCAAGACGGGTTGGTGATTTCAAACTTATAATTGTGAAACTATAAGTCCAGGTTTCTTCACGATGTTTTCCTTCACCGTATGTCAGTGATGTCAAAATACTCTCAGAAAGTACATATGACTCGGAAAAATCACATTGGTACTTGCCAGGTTTGAACCCGCGGCCTCGGCTACGAGAGGCGGACCCCTTAACCACTAGGCCACCACTGACTAAAAATATAATGAATAAATCATACTATACCTAATATATGGTTGCAGTTTCGACATGGATCTGTAAAGTTTGCCGGAGGCTGATCACTCGCCCTAGCATTTGTTTTCGCCGCCTGTTGCACTGGTGTCTTCCAACCATTACAATTACAGCCTTGTTCCTGGAATTATATATTACAATTATTGCATTATATGAATTGAAACTTTTATGTAGAACATTGGAAGTAGAATAAACACATATGTAGTTTATTATATGTAAGGGATGGTTTACTTCTGTATGTAAGGTCTGGTTCACTCTAATCTTTATAAAATTTGTGGTTTAATGAAGAAAAACTTCCTCAATATTAACTATAACATATATGATGGAGTTTGAAATATACTACATACCTGACATGCAGAATATATGGCAAGTTTTAGAAGCTTCTTGTCGTGTGACCAGTTGTAAACCTGCTGTTTTCTTTGCTGGATGCGTTGCAAGTTAGATTGTCTGGAGGCTTGACTCTCATTAGGAGCAGTGGCGGTGGATGCTGCATCATCGGCGGTCACACTTGATGTAGCTGCAATTTTTTAGTGTTCGTAAACAAAATTAATATTTTACAGTCGTAAAGTGTATTTATTTAAAACTCTAAAACCGTTTTATGTTCAATAAAAATGCATGCTTATGAGGAAGTTTTTATGCAATATAAAAATACTATTTAAACGTTACAATTAGGTTTTAATTAATAAAAGAAAAACTTTTTAGTATTTGTTTATTTACCTTCGTTTACGTGAGCTTGAGACGAATCAGCTTCTGAGCCTGTCATAGCTATGTCATTAATATCGTCTGTCAATTGAGAAGACATACCTAGTATGCAATATGCTGGTTTTATTTTATTTTTAGCTATACAGACACCACTTAAACCATTTTAAACTTTTAAAAACCTAAATGTATTGAAAAATAACAATAATAACAATGATTTTTGCTGTACAGCTCAATATCGTAAAAGTACTAAGTACTAAGTGACAGTTACTTTGGAAAGTGACATTTACATTTTACAATGTTATTTTTTCCCAGTGTTACCAGAGAAGTTTTAAGTTTCAACGAACACCGTCGTGGAGTTGGTTTCCAATAGTGCAAAAATATGTAATATATCAACCATAAACTCTCAGCTCAAAACGTGGACTTGAACTATTCGCACAATTGGAATTTGGAAAAATATTTATAACATAACACAATATATGTAGTGTCAATCTAATAGAAAACCATGTTTAGTGTAATGATCACTTGATTGACGTTTGAAATATGTATATTCACAGCTTAGTCCTTGCTTTAAAAAAATATTTTTAAACTGGATAACTTTTAGAATATATAAGAAAACTAGTAAACCCGGCGAACTCCATTTCGCCACCAGTAGGCTTCGTTTGGTGATTAAAAGATAAAGAATTTTTTTTTTGTTTTATATTTGAAAAGGAAAAATTTCATTTCATTTCACAATTATAGTAACGAATTCATTTCGATTACAAAAATGAAGTGTTATTTAGTTGAACTTCTCTAAGTAAATGTAAGTAAATCCAAAGTAAAATACTGAAGCCAAGCGTTATACGTGTCCGCAAATTACCCGTTTCATTGAAGTGCTCTTTGGTAAAAAACCTATTTGTTTTTTTGTCTAACGTTAACACATACAAAGCGGATGGTTTCCCAACTCGTGAACATGCAAAGTATAACTGCTCATGTGAAAAAACAATGATTTTCTCAATTTATCCCGCAAATACTAAAAGGTTTTTAAGAATTTAAACTACAAACACAATACCGGTATCATGCTCCATCTACTTAAAACATTGATTTGTAGTACATGTTATGTATCAGAGATGGCGATGTAAGGGGCCGTTCAAGTATTACGTAAGCAGATTTATTACAATTATTTACCCCTCCATCCCCCTAGTCAGCAAAAGTAAGCAAAGCTCTTACCCCCTCCCCCCATGCTTACGTAAACATTTTCAATTACTGTATTGTTTTTGTTTTCATATAAATCCAGAAAAAAAATCTAAAAATTTTTATGGATCTTCTCGATGTGGCGATTAAAAAGTAAATAACTACCGATGACGTAATCATCACCTAGACTCCCCTACCCCCCATGTCATCCAAAATAATCAAAGCAAAGACCCCCCCCTCCATAGTGCTTACGTAATTCTTGAAAAGCCTCTAAGTGAAATAGATTTTCCCGCCTTTCTGTTGAAATTTTTCCTGAATTTTTTTGCTATAAACCTCACGGAGCCCGAGACCTTTCCAACGAATGCAAAATCGTTTAACCGATTTTCACGGTTTTGCATTCGTGCGTTCTGAAGTTAAAGCGTCAGGAAGGAAAACCGGACTTATTATAGCAGATATTTACCGGCTTACCATGCGTCGTTCCAATCAGGATCACCTTGATAACTTATTATTTCACTACAATTCAATTCCATTTCTTCATTAGAAAACATTCAGTGTTTGAGATCATCGTTGTCCTAAGGGATATGATGTTTCGCAGTCCTTTCACACATTGAAATCGAGGGAATATATCGAACCCTGACTGCGGCGCTGGTTTGCCTCCATGCTATGATAGCCATAATGTAAAGTTTGGAGAAGTCTTCTTTTTTTTTCGGGACAACTCAAGGCTGTTTTGTGTATGTTGTGATATTAACTCTAAGATTGGTATTAGGGCGTGCTAACTGCTAGGTTTTTTAGGGCTATGCCTACCAACACTGCGAAGTAGGTGGGGTCTACTAATGAATGCGGTGGCAAACTAGCCCACTCCGCAGGTGACATTTTTGCGAGTTTTCGAGCTGTCTACTGTTTAATACTCTAGGCTTCACGGTGCGTATTTACACGAAAGCCTTATACGCAGTTTCCGCCAGAAGACTGTTTAAGAGAGCGTAGTTTACAAAAAAATAACCAAAAGAGCAAAACTTTAATCAAAATAAGACAGCCATATTAGGACGATTTCTCTATTTAATAATTAACAACAATTTTGTGTTTATTACTCGTCATTATATCATTAGTACATTCGTTCAGACGCGCCGCTACAGCGCAGTCATCCTTGTCACGAGCACTCGTCTCAATACATCGGTCAAGATTTTTTTCCAGTTTCTTCATCAATTTTTCATCTTTTTCGTAAAATTTCTTCACCAGTGCTATAAGGTTTTCTGAAATATTAAAACAATGCATTTGGAACGTTTCCCTATATAGGATTGTTATAAATAAATATATGTTACAAAATCGTTTTTTTTTACCTTTAGCTAATTTGTAAATTGATATATATCCTAATACCTTTATGAATCTTTCCGTTTTCTATGACGCTGTTTCGTTTAAGAACGCAGGCGATCAAGCAATCTCCGTGTACAGGTGACTCTTTCTTAGGAGAAAGTCTTTTTATCGGTCTCTTATCATTAGCATGAACTTCTTTTAGACATTCTGACATGTTACGTTTGAATTGATCGACATGTTTTTTCACATCTTTCGGGAAAGAGCTGTAAGACCAGTCGGGACTTACATTTTTTTGCTCGATCTGTGCTTCTGCTAAATATAAATACTTTATTATAGATGTTTTCTTTTATACAGTTTAGTTTAGCAAGTTTGTGTGGTACAATTGAAGAGTTGCCCGTTTCTTTTTACAGGATTGGAAATATAATATGTGCGATTATCTATAAATTTAAAACTGGCAACACTCCATCCGTAGTGTGACGATGTAAAGAATAAATAAAATTTAATAACTGCTATCTTAATTCACATTTTTTTCTGTATGTGTATTATAAATTTTCATTATCAATATAAAATGGAACGATTTTTAATAAAGGTAATCTGGTTTTTATTTAATAATTTAAGTGTGTATTAGAAGTGAAAAATAAATATGTACTTACAAGATTTGTCATTTTTATTTTTCAAATTCATGTTTCTTGTTATAATTGTGTCTTTATCGATCTTAACATCGTGAATGGTGTCAACTCCAACCATGCGATTATTTTCGAAAGCTTGGTCAGTTTTTACATGGACGAAAAAAATGAGCGGGAACAGAAAACCAAGAAACATTTTTTTTATCCTATTGCAGTTACAATCACTGTAAGAAGTCTGATTGCAAATCAAGTCATTTTATGGATCAATTTGTGTACTTCATATCTTAATTGGTCCTATTAAATTTTATTTCTTAGTTCGGTATTTTTTCACCCGATAATTTAATTAGATTTAGTTTTTGTTTATTTATTTTAGATTTTTTTGAGTATAAAATGCCTAGTAATAATCCATTTGTCGAGCAAAAATTTTCATTACAAATAATTCGCAAATTAACCAGTAAATTAATAAAAATAAAACAAAAAAAGGTTTATTACATTTATTGATATATGACAAACTTCAAGAGGGCAGACTTTATTAAATTATGTACATAAAATATTATTTATGTATATGTAATTGATTGTGCGAAACTATTTACATTATTTATTTATTAAGAATAAGTCCGGTAACTTTAAATGAAGATAACTTTATTTATGGTTAATACATATAACAATCCATAATATACATATATATTTTCATTTAATTGTCATGATTTTTTTCACTAAAAAAATATACATCTTAGAATAAGGTTACATAACTTATCAATTATTATTATTATTTTTTAAACATAAATATTTTCAAATATACATATATCTTAAAATTATCCGACCTAATGAACTAATACAGCTTATATAACAAAATGCAAAACTTAATTTTTTATTCCTTTTTCATTTATACATAATTCTAGAGTACTTATTAATTATTGAATTAGGTTGTAGACGTCAACAAATCTGAAAAAAAAAACATTCTACTATTATATTAATTGAAAAAACCGTTTGTAATTATTTAAAAAAGGAACGTTGTAATCTATGAGTGATTGAGGGTGCAGTCATGTAACACTCACCGGGTGGAGTGACAGGGGTGGACGGTGTTGAGGGTGCGCACGCCGCGCACAGTGGCGCCGCCCTAGCGGCGTGGAGTGCTGGCAGGGCTGCCCGAGCGGCCACACACCGCGTGCATACCACACGACCACAACCCCAGCAGTGATGCTGTTGTGGAAAGCACAGAAATTAAATAAGTTTTCTCTAAGTACAATGGAATTTTAGGGAAAATTTATTGTATCTATAACAATACAAATAATAATATTATGTATGTGATAGTTTGTTAGTTTTGATGAATGATTTTTACAAGTAAAGTAGCGTAGCAGATGTTGATGAAACATTCTAAAATATATCTCAAAGATCTGAGTAACATATGGTAAATATTTTATAACTTAACCCCACATAATAAGTTACTATAACACACGATAGATGTCGCTGATCATAGAGTAACATATTTAAAATCAAGTACACATTATTCATTAACCTCTGAATATTAAATCAAGCTAGTTCATACCTTCCTACTGAAATGATCCAAGGGTGTAGAACAGCCACATTCAGTCACATTCTTGATAGTCTTCCAATCAAGTGCCACTGTGTTCACCTCAGCTTCGAGCAAACTCAAGGTCGCAGGTATCATCGCGTCTGCCTTCTGAAAACAAAGTATTGTAGAGATTAATATAAAACTTCACGAGCTAGGGTTTGATTAGCAATATAGACTCAGATATTCGCTTCATTATAATCGTAGGTAATATCGTTTCTATAGTTTGTACGTCGCTTCTCGGAAGACTGACTCAAAACAAATCTAGCGGCTCCTTTATATGTGACAATCCGATAAGTAATTCCCAAAAAAAATTCAATAGATACATAACATAAGTGCTATAAAATAAGCAAAACTTGTAAAAGCCCCGATGGAAATAATTTGAATATTGAGGAAAAAAAAATTGATTAATAAGAATTTTGAAAAAACTATAAATTCTTATTAACTTGACATTGCGTTTTCAACATTTGATTTTGCTACCAGTACAAAAGGTGAAGTGAGGAAGGTGCGGGGCGGAGTAAAAGCAGTATAAACCGGTTTAAAACTAGAAAAGAACGTTTCATTCAAAAATTTGACATCACACCTACACTATCCGTGTGCACTCACACAAATGCAACGCTCAGCTTAAATCAAACGCACTATACTAGTAAATGTTTAGCTAATAGTTCGCCCACTCGTCACGAGATGGCGCTACAGTTCAATATCGAGAACATTCTATAATATTCGTTAAGCTGATCTTTAAGCTGGCTCCACATTATATTATAGCAATGTCAACGTAATAATCAAATTAAATTTCAATAGACAATGTTCAATACTGTTAGTGTAAGTGGAATAACTATTAGGCCTCGGCCTCGAATTTTGCGGGCAGCGGAGCGGCAGCGGGAGCGGCAGGATCTTACGCGTATAATCAAATGGACCGACCCTGGAATACAGCGGTGCCCGCTGCCCGCTATTTTGGAGAAATGTATGCGTTTCCGTGCCGCCTCCGCCGCCGCTCCGCTGCCCGCAAAATTCGAGGCCGAGGCCTTAAGGAGATAGCAGGTATTATATTAAATTTTAATATATACATATATATATATATATATATATATATATATATATATATATATATATATATATATATATATATATATATATATATATATGTTTCAGTCACACCTCTGTAATGAGCGGTATTTTCTTGGGAGCTCCCTCCTTCAGCGGATGGTCGTGGTTAGCGCACTCTAATTCTGATAGGTTGCCGCCCGACTCGTAGTGAAGTCTGGAATTATAATTGGATTATGTTGAGAATAAGAATTACATATAAAATATCTTATAAACATATTTAACCTTCTCCAAGAACAACATTTTTAAATTACATGTTTAGTTAATATATTAAATTGTATTTTATATCCAGTTAAGAAGTCCATATAACGACTGTATTGATATTAAATATATACATATTCACTATTGTACAGCAGGGTATATATCTCATCTGCCCGTGATCACGGTTGCTGCAAAGTAACCGAAACGTTGGAAGTATGTAGTTTTAAAGATAATAATATACGCATAGTTATCCGAATAGCATTTGTTTCATTTTGTATTGCAGTATCGTTGTATGGATAAAATATATAACCAGGACGCCGCTGGCTCCGCTGAACGAACACTAAGCCGTGTGAACCAGAAGATTCCTGATACTACACAAGCTATGGAATTCGATTGCTATCCTAACGTCGGTAATTATGTAGTCTTAACCTATACCGGTTACAAGTTTTAACATGTAATTCTTATTATAAAATACATATATACATATGTGTAAGTTTCATACTTTTTCTGGTACCTCCGGTTGTCCCCCTACTTAATTAGGGTGTACATGTTAATAATAGGTTGAGGAAAAAGTGTTTTCGCATTATAGTATGTATGAACTTGTAATAAAATCTCTTTAGCTGTAGTATTTGTATCCGGCTGGTTTTGGTATTATTGAAAGTTAAAATTTTAAAGAACGTAATTCCAAATACAAATTAGGCAAATGTGTGATTTTCATTTGTTTTTCGTAATATCACGAGAGGACTGCCAAATCCACTTGTCGCGGTTTTTTGATGAGAAGTCCCAAAATTTTTATAGCAATGGGATCATGACCCTACCTACAAGATGGCAAAAGGTTATCGAACAAAACGGTACATACGTACTTTAGTTAAATTTAAATAAACTATATTAAGAAATGTTTTGAATTTTCTTAAAAAATGCGAAGATACTTTTTCCCCAACCTATAATTTGATACACCTCATCACTACTAGGTCAAAGTAGGTGATCATTTATCACTACATACTTATTATCAATCTCCGCAGCCTCCATTTTCGTTTCTATATCCACAGTGTCACGTGAACCGTTCTGATAGTTCACCACGCTGTCGTCTTTTCTTTCTTTTCGTCCGGATAATAGATTTTTGAACGTTGATATCCGCTGGAAATAAATACAATTTATTATTATAATTGAAATACAGATAATACATATAAATATTTTATGTCATATGTTTATAATTAATAATGTCTACAAAAAAGGTTGCGAGTTTCTTTGACCGTTATGTATGTTCGTATGACAATGAACTTCTCATTAGCTTATGTATGATCATTATTTCTACGTGGCGACACATATATATAAATGTTTTATTACATACTAGCTTTCCGTCCGCGGCTTCGGTTATATTGCGTGTCCATGAGAAGTTTTCAAAAGTCTGGGATAAAAACTATCCTATGTTCTTTCTCAAGGTCAACTCTATCTCTATACAAAATTTCATTAAAATCAGTTCAGTTGTTTAGGCGTGAAAGCGTAACAGACAGACAGATAGAGTTACTTTCGCACATATAATATTACAGGGATGTATAATTTATAATCTGTACAAAACATGTTGCTATTAAGTTCTCGTTGACCGTTTTATACGTTCGTTTGAGGTGGAATTTCTCAGTAATTTCCGTACGCACATTATTTCTGTGTGTATGTATGTGTATGTATATCTCTATAAACATATTTCTCTGTATCATATTATAAGTGTAGTTGTACCTTAGCTAAATAATCTATGTGATGTGTGAGAGCGGTGGCGTGATGCACGGAAGCCGGCAGCAGGTCTGCCAAAGACTCACGGGGATGTACGCCACTCTCATGGCGACAATACATACCGCGCCAGAACCTGCAATAAACAATTTATATATATATGAAGTCAGTGGTGACCTAGTGGTAAGGCCCGCCTCTCATGCACGAGGGCGCCGGTTCGATCCGGGCAAGTACCAATGTGATTTTTCCGAGTCATATGTACTTTCTAAGAGTATTTAGACATCACTGATTAATGCTATCCCATAGAGGGTTGATGTCAGGTAGGCGGCCGGTCGTAAAAAAAAAATAGTCAAAACTATTTACAACATTTAAGACAGACCGCGGCTAAAGCTGGGAAATTGCCAGGTAGAAGATATTTCAAATATATTTAATATTAATTAGAGTGTTTTATGAGGGTATTTAGACATTTTTAATACGTTTATAGGTAATGATAATATTGAAATTTATTTCAGGTTGAGATCTTGATTGGAATTGGATATTAGTTATACTATGATATAAAAGCTAACAATATACAAAATTAAGGTATGCTTATTCGTGGTAACGAAATAGGTATATAATAACTACTATGTTATGAAAGCATTAACTAGATACATAATATATATGATGCAGAATATATATACTATCCAGTAAATTATAATGTATATATTTATATTAATATATTAGTTATTTTAACCATATCTCACCTAATGCTCTGCGCGCTCAAATCAGGTTTCAGTATGTCGGGATATGCTTTGGGATTGTACAGCGGGTTTTTGTATTCATTGAGATGACTCGCCATGTATCCCCATAGAGAGAAAGTACGCTCCGATAATCTATAATGATATTTAATTTAATATTAATAGGCTTACCAAGTCTCTATCGTTATACCATATACAAAGTTTCGAGTATTTTTTCATGAACCTTCGTACGTTATAGTATTAAATTACGTAATTGAATGAGACAGGAAACGTTTATATGTTATAACGATACAAAGTCGTACTAAGCATATATTATTCAGTTTGAGAATTAGAATTATTTTGACATAAAAATTTAGTTTTATTTGATACATATTTTAAATAATTAACTTTAAAATATTATAGTAGGCCGAACTTTCGATTACCACAATCTGACGTTGTGAACAAACTAGGTTCAGAAAAAAACTGGTTTAAAATTATTCTTATACATATTAATATTGTATATTATTAATATATATATACATACCTCAGATCTCGTCTATCCTTCTGACAGTTACCAATGAACGTCCCGTACTGGCAGGCGTGAGCGTGGTCGTGTAGTGTTAGTAGGAACCTCTCGTTGAACTGGAACGCCTGAAACAAGAAACATTATTATAGTACATATTAGATATATATGTACGTTATAAAATTAATAATACAGAGACATTGATGTATTGTCCATCAGTGTTGGCCTAGTGGTTAACAGGCCCGCCTCTCATGCACAAGGTCACGGGTTCGATCCTGGCAAGTACCAATGTGTTTTTTCCAAGTCATATGTACTTTCTAAGAGTATTTAGACATCACTAATTAATGCATTACCAAAGCGGGTTGATGTCAGGCAGGCGGCCGGTCGTAAAAACAAATAGCTAAAACTATTCACAACATGTAAGGCAGACTCTGGGAAACTGCCAGGTAGAAGAAGAAGATTGATGTATGGCATATAGTAGTGATGTTGTAAAAACACACTAATATTAGTTTATTGGCGTGTGTATGTGTAAGTGAGTGTGTGTCTTCATATCTGCTTGTGTCTGTGTGCACGTATATGTGTGCGCGTGTGTGTGTGTGTGTGTGTTTGTGTGTTTGTGAGTGTGTGTGTCTTCATGTTTGCTTGTGTCTGTGTGCGCGTGTATGTGTACGTAAGTGCGTGTGTACGGGCGTATGTGTGTATGTGTTACCTCTGGAGCCTGCCGCAGCAGCTGCCAGGTGCAGTCCAGCAGCTGCGTGAACACGGGCGACCGTTCCCGCGAGTCACACGCCACGTGACCACAACGAGCTGTGAACTTGTGACCGAATGATAGCCAGTCCTTTTCGATCAACGCCTGTAAATAATACATGACGTATATATTTATTTACTACTGTACGGGAGTAATGCTTATGTCAATGAACTCTTCCTAAACGGCTGGACCGATTTAAGTGAATTTTTTAGTATGGATTTGGATGGCGACACAAATGGTTAATAAGATACACAAATTACCCCGTCGATAAACCTGTAGTATTGTATTATGGTTCTTAAAAATGAAAAGGCTGTTACGTTGCTAACTATATGTATTGTTTAAAACATTTTATAAATTTCGATGAAAATTTAGACGAAGTCAAGAGCAAAAACTACTTAAATACAAAACCTTTCAACTGTCCTTACAAAAATTTATTTTTTGGTGTAACCTACATGTATCATTGAACTCAATCCTTACTAATATAAATGCGAAAGTAACTCTGTCTGTCTGTTACGCTTTCACGCCTAAACCACTGATGTGATTTTAATGAAATTTGGTACAGAGATAGAGTTGACCTTGAGAAAGAACATAGGATAGTTGTTATCCCAGACTCTCGAAAGGTTCTCTTGGAAACGCGATATAACCGAACTCGGGCGGAAAGCTAGTAATACATAAGTATATGTTTATATAGTATTGGTCACCTGATAACCATTAATGGTCCTGTAGTGTGGTTCTATACACAGAGCGGCCAGCGAGCACACCTGAGCAGTTCTGTCCCAGCCGTCACTACAGTGAACACACACGCTTACTCCGGATGATATAGCGCTGGCTATCCACCACGATGTATCCAAGATAGATCTGTTACGAACATATTATTATTAAAAACATATAAGGGTATGAAAAATTACAAACAATAGCAATGACTAGAGAGGAAAAAGAGCATTTAAGGGCCTAAAAACTGATGAATAGACCTAAGATCATAGGAGACAAATGCTGTTAGTCTTGATCTTTGAAAGACTGAATTTCGGAATATTAAAGTTAGAAGATAAAACGCCTTTGAACTATAAAACTCAGTATGTATATAAGTTTACATAGGTTACGAGCACCCTGAAAAACTATTTTTAATCATTATAATTAGTAGAAATTTATTGTTATGGTCTCATTTACTTTATAAAACTCACTTGATATGTTTCAGCCAACCAGATGATTCCAAGCCATTCAAGAAGGACGACATTGTGGGAGAGTTTTGTTCGCACGCTGAAATTTTAAGCATAGTTACTTAGTACATATAAGCAAAACCTTTAAAGTTCAAAATTGCATGACAAAGTGAATGATTATAAAATAACAATGTACCTAGTTTATAAAACTTAAAAAATACATGTATTTTAATATACGCACAAGGATGTAACTAAGTCGATGGGCGTGAAGTTTTCTTAGGCTATACACTTATGTAGTTTGGCTATAGTATGTACTTCGGCTAATAAAAAAAAACTATATTGTATTTTTTTTGCCTTGGTTGTAAGATGTTTCTCCTGACTACAAATATCTTAATACTAACTTTCAACCAGTTTCTGAAGACTCTTCCTCATGACGTGTATGTTTCCGATGCCCATGAATTGAAATTTGATATTCTCATAGAAAGCTTCGTTTTCATAGCCCTTGCCTGCGGCGCGATTGACCATAGCATTAATCTGATACAAAAAAATAGGATAAATAATGTATAGGTTTTTGGTAATTTAGTTATTTTTGTTCTTATATATAACTTACCCTCGGTCGTGTGTCCACAACATACATGTACCCGCAGTTAGGATTCGCGCGACGTATGAGATCCAACATTTGTTCGTCTTCCATGCACCTTGAATACACAAGAAATACTACCTTAAATACTATTAAAAATCAAATAAACAACACAAAATATGGTCCTTGGAATATTTTTACTGACCTAGCGGAAAATCCGCTTAATGGCTGACTGCACCTAGCGATAGCTGCTTTGTTATGATGCAAGTAAGCCAACACTGGTAGCCTGCCTCGAGACCGAAAACTGGCGCTACCCAGTAATACGGCACTGGAGGCTCGAGCTGGTACGTAAACCTCGCTTGGGTAAGTATCACAAAGCTGTAAAATGTATTACTTTATGAGGTTTTTGACATATATGTATATTAAAGACTCACGTTTTTTATGGAATGCGTATTGCTGTTTGCTCGCTGCTTTTACAGAGGTATCAAAGAGTTATCAAAAGTCTCACCCGTTACAAAGGTGCAAGTTACAGAGTCAGATTTTATTTTATATGATTTGGTTAGATTTGGTAGAGTTCTGTTTGTGCAAATCTGTTTTGTACCTATTAGTCCCTTTTCATAAGTTATTTATTAATATGAGATTGCGATGAATGGCTAAGGTGACACATTTTCCCAAGGAATAGAAACTTTTGGTAAAAAAATAATTACGCGAATCAAATAATAAAAATACATAAGAGAATGTTCTAAATATATGTATACGACTTGATAATATTTAAAAAAGCCTATTAACAGCTATCTTCCGTACAAACCTCATAATCTCTGTTAGCGTTACAGAGGGTCCACTGTTCATTGGGGACATTCATTCTCTGGAATTCTGTCTGTATGTCGAAAAAATTCCAACCAGCTGACTTCGGAAGATCATCCGGAGTAGACTTGTAATGAAAGCAGTATAACTCTTCCAGGTTAACTATAATATAATATATTTATTAGTATATAGTTTTTATTAAACTGAAACATATAGATTTCCTTCTTATGATTAATCGCGCTTTAGTCATCATTATCACCAGCCTATCAGAGCCCACTGCTGAGCAAAGGCCTCTTCTCATGGAGAAGGTTTGAGCATTAATCACCACGCTTGCTTAAGACGGGTTGATGATTTGAAATTATAAGTCAAGTTTTCCTTTATCGCCTGACAGTGGTGATTAGATACTCTTAGAATGTGCTTTAGTGCATTTAATGTAATTATTATTATCTAATAAGAAATATACGAATTGCATACAAATATATGGGCTTTACGACTAAATAATGTCTGTATGAGTTACCTAGTTGAACAGTTTTGTTTTCCTTTTAGCTTAGGACTGTATTTTTTATGTGATATATTATGAAAAATTTGATTTTGGATGAAGACTTACCCGGTTGGCTCAACCTGAGCAGGGTCTGATGCATTTCATGACAATCTCGTTCCCTTGGTATAACAAAGAACACAGATTGGAAGGTTTTAGTGCGAACTAATAGCGGCGAACCCGTTGTCGTGATCGGCAGACGTTCCACTGTTGATATGTGCATTAGAAGAATCTAGAAAGGCAATAATTTTTCACAAAATATAGAAAAATACATATAACTTTTTATTATTTGTTCTTATGATTCTTTATTCTTAATAATTTTGTATATTGATCAGAAGTATGCATAATTTTTTTTGGGTTTTGTTGACGAATGTATTTTTTCTCATCAATTTTCGAATTACTATCTATTTTAAAATTAATAATCAGGTTTGTTAGTTATGAAATCAACACCAATCTATGTAGATGAATTAATATACATCATTTTATAAAAAATACATCTACATCTTTATGACGAGAGTATAAATATAATAACTGATTTATGTCTTTCTGTGAATGTAAAGTTCTAAATATTTGCGATGTTGTCATACCCAGGTTTCCTTCCTCATTTCATGATCAACAAATATGAGGTGAGTTGTTGCGAAGTACAGCGTGCCTTTCGAAGGATTCCTCAGATTGTATTTATCCAGCATCTGGACATTCTCCAACTGTAATTAAAATAAATAATTTTAATAAATATATGAAATAAAACTAACACTATATCTAATATTATATATCATACATTTTATTTATCAAAAACATTATACAAATAAATCAATCACTTTGCTTAGAGTTATATTAATTATCAAGTTCTTGATTCTACTTCTAGCTTCAATTTTCACAGCTTTAGCCAGGGTCTGCGTTACATGGTATGAATAGTTTTGTCTAATTGGTTTTATGACCGGCCCGTCTGACATCAACCCTCTTTTGGGAATGCATTAATCAGTGTTGTCTAAATACTCTTAGAAAGTACATATGACTCGGACAAATCACATTGGTACTTGCCAGGATTGAACCCGCGCCCTCGTGTACGAGAGGCGTGGCTTTTTAACCACTAGGCCACCACTGACTAAAGTCCATCAAGTTCTTGATTATTTTCTTAAATATAATAATTATTTCTAAGTCGAGTTATTAATAATATTATCAATAAAGCTGACGTATGAAAAGCAATTTCTTGTATGTTATGAGATATATTATTTTGGCTTTTCATAAGTAATCATCAAATATTTATTACCTACTTAAGTTTTTGTATATTACAATATATTAAGTAAGAATTCTTTTATTGGTAACAAATACATTATGTTTAGATTATATATACCTACTTTGAATTCAATTTGAATTATGAGAGTAGTAGTTTTTACAAGTGTCGTAGTAAATAAATATTTATATTTAAAATTATGTCTCATAAATAATTTTTAGTAACATAGAAAAAATAATAAGAGAACCCATTACGTATTTTATATTTCACTTAGTTTAAAATAATTTCGATTTTGCAATTGGCGGATCAAGAGATTGTGAAGTAAAAAAAAAATATTCGAGACCTTTCTATGTCTACTAAACTAATTAGAATATCTTAAATAAAAAGAAAATAAATTACAGAAGGATTCCATTCAGTACTAATAAAAATAATCAGAGATTACTTAAAGCTTACTACCATCAACTTGTTAGAAACAAAGTTTTCGTAGTCAAAACCTTTGTATACTCCGAAGGGTTCATCACAGAACTCTTCAGATAACGTTTAATTTACAAAACAGATCTGCGGTGGCTTCCCCTTAACTTCTCCCTTTCAACTTTACAAAACATTAAGTTGGATATGACTCAAGTTTTCGTTGATTAAAGCTGTATCTCCAGACATTGAAACGAGATTCCGATTTCTAAAGCAAATAACTACTAACTATAATATACATCAATAAGTCAAGAAGGTAATTTATTTTCTTTTTATTATTTATATAAATTGATTATATAATAAACATACATATATATACTTTACATATACTCCAAGTTTGAGAAAACAAAATGAAAATACTTTAAACATGATAAATGTAACAATTAGGTAATTTTCAGAACATTCTATAAGCACATATTATGTGGACAATAAATATTTTCTATAAAAACTTATACATACCTACAATGTATTTTTTTTTTCAGAACATTTCATATTTTTTTATTGTTATAGTCAATCTAACATTTATTTTGGAAAGTAATAAGAGAAAAAGCCATTCAATCAACAAGAGGTACTGAGACACGTTTTGTGTGTTTGGGACATGTTTTGCTATAACAGAAATGGATCTAAAACCTCCCTAAAAGCGACTTTATATGACAGTACAAAGCATCGCTTTGCTTCGAGTAATATGTCCGACGAAATAAATCTTTATTTTGTTTGAATTAAATGGGTTTCAAAAATTTTTTAACTCGTTAATTTAGCGAATTTACTTTGGATTATAGTTAAGCTTATTTTCGAATTAAATTGCGTTAATCGGAAAATAAAGTAGTATAAGAATCGGATATTATAATTAAAAGTACGTAGTAGTGATGGATAAAAAAGGCAATAAGAAAGACTTCTCTTGCCCCTTGGAGAGAAATCATCCATTTTATTTTTTAAAACACGATGTAATTTAATTTATGCCAGTCTGCAAAATCGTGGGAAGTATTCTATTAGGTTACTACAACTTTTCTGTAATATTTGATAGTTTAAAAGTGGTAAGCAAATTTTTAAAAAAATTTACTTTAAAGTAAAAATTACTACAACAAAAAAAACATGGACTTTATTTTTTCTGAAGCAAAAAAGTATTTGAGAAAATTGTGCAATGCGGACATAAGATATGTCGAGCCACTCATTCTTGTAATTTTTAGTAATTAAATATATGGATATATATATGTATGCATTGTATAACAATAGTTCGGTAATATGGCAATGGCAAAATAAGATCACATATAATGAATTATACATAAAAATTAACGTAAAAAGATGTCATATATGTACAATGTACATATACAAATCAGTGAATGAGTGCCTTACTTTCAATATTAAGAAAGAGAAAGGTCTGAAAAGAGCAAAATCAGAATTCTCCAAGTAAGACAACAAAGTAAATTATTATTCCATTATTAATTTCAATAATTTAGCCTGATCTAAACATGATCATAACGATTTCTAATAATTGCTCTAGAAGTATAAGAATATAATACCTAATTATATTATAAAGTATATACAATTCTAAGTCAATCCCACTGAAGCGTACTAATATTTATCAAAAAATAAAAGATTCTACTAATGGACAAAAAATAAGCTTTTATTTGTACAAAACGGGACTAAAAATTTAGTTGAAAACATGAAAAGTACAAAACTTATTGAAGGGAGTCTATTTTTTCTTATTTGTCTGCAATTTCTTTCTGTCTAGTGCGGTTTTTGTTCCATATTTACAGTTTTCATCGACAGATCGCTGTAATGGTAGGATAAGTTGATCAGCAAGACTTAGTAATTGGATACGTCTATGATTTATTACATCCGTCATGCGGTGAGCACATAACTCTAGGGCATCTGCAGCCCTAACTAAAGTTCCACAGGATTTGAGAGCCTCTGCAGCTGAATACCTGCCACCTTCAAAAAACAGTTTAAGCTGTTTCATAAACCGAAAATTTGATATTCTAACCAATTGGATAGTGTTCTCGACATCTTTTTTATATTTAATAATAAGTTCATCTAAAGATTTATCAAAATGCTCTTTGTATTTTTTCAACCTTGGAACACAACTGCTCAATTTCAATCTCTTCACTTCTGGATCAATGGATTCTTGAGAAAGGAATTCGTTAATATCCGTTTCCATTGATTTTACGAACGACGCTAGCGGATATAAATTAGGATCATCGAGGCCTGAAAATTCCGATGCCTCTTGCGGTAGACGATCAATTAAAGTATGCAAGGCTTCTAAGTGAGAATTGAGGCGTGCATCGTGAAGTTTAATTTCAGCTAAACGAGCTTCACGGCATGCTTTTAAGCGTTCTGCTCGTATGCTATGGGACACTAACTTCATAGAATTACGCATATTTAACTGTAAACATTTATAGTCAACCCATTTCCTTGCATGACGTGATAGTTCTTCTGGTATAGCAGACAAATTGTTTTGAAAGGATTCCAAGAATCCATTTCTCCAATTATTAAGGGCTGTGTCTTGAAGTTGAGTTTGAAAAACAGCTCGGGGCAGAGGAGCCCTGAGTGAAAACGTTTGATGTGAATTTATCGAACTACCGCTAATCAAACTTGTAGTTGAAAGCATACCTATTTTAGGATATTTTTCCAAAAGGCAATCGCATTCTGAAAGCAGAATATTATTCAAGAGTGGAAGAGAATTCATAAAATCTTCTAGTTTGTTTATTTCAATTTCACCATGTTGCTGATAGAGATCTGTGACACGTTCAAGTAAGTTCGTAGCTACGTCATAATGTTGTTGCAGTTTCTCCGCATCTGATGCACAACGCAGTTGTTCTAAAACAACATTGAAATTAACCTCATTAATGAGTTCCACTGAATCATTGACCATCTGTGCATCCTCAACAGACGCAAGTGTCAGCTTCTGTATAAGAGCAGAACGCATTATATGAGCATCCCACATATGGGCAGTATTATACAAAATACTATAAGTATCTTTTAATCGTTCACCAAGCGAAACAAGGCTTTTCTGCATATTCGTTACATCGTCCCTAGTCATATCTTGTAGGTCTTGATAACTTAAATTTTTATATTGTAAACTGCTATCCGAGACACAATTGAGAGCTTTATCTATAATAGTTTTTAAATCATCAATCGAATCAAATTTTTGAATTGAAGTCGCATCAACGCCAATATTTTTATGAAGTTCATCTAATTGACCTATGAATCTACTAAATACTTTCAGGGTCGCAGCACGATACACGTCAACAATGCGAGAAATACACTTCTTAAATTCTTCCAAATCAGTTAGAATACCTGTTGTTATATCGCTATTGCTCAATACTTTTTCATCACCTTTCAAGCTAGTTACAATACGATCAACATTTCGAGCCCATGGCAATGCACTGTGTGTGCGAATAGTTTTAGGATTGTTGATGCATAACTGATTTAAAGAAGACCGGGCATTCATTATTGTATCATCCAATTGAGATCTTAGCTGTGCTTCTAGTTCGATGTAAGCTCTGTTATTGCTAAGCAGTTGCTGATTAATTTCATAAATCTTTTCATCGAATTCGTGCAGCAAGTCTTTTGGCGTTTTGTGTCCCACTGCTATGAGGCGATGGAAGTTATTCTGTAAAATATCTCTCAGACCATCAGATCGCTCTCTTTCTAAGCTGATTCCTTCCTGTTTGAATAATACTAGATCTTGAATTCTTTGGTTGAACAATTTTGTCACCTGTTTATGTGCTTCATTACGTTCCTCCAAAGACAACGTCTTCCCGATTTGTTTGAATTTCGTTATCACACATTGTATATCATTATCATTTTCTTTTATTTCGCATAATAATTTTTCAGCAAGAAGTCGGACTTTATCATCAATATCTCTGTTCACAGCCAAGGCTTGTTCTGCTAAGTCTTTTTCAACCATTTCATGTTTCTGCTCCTGTTCTCTCAAATAGTTTATTAGTAACGGAGTACAACGTTTTGGAGTCCATTGATCCGGCAAAGCAGATACGGCTGCAAAATCTTCAGAACATCCTGGGGTGTCTATTACCGGTTTTCTAATTAAACCAGTACAGTAGCACTTCTCACTGTCACTATTTTTGCTTCGTGACATTTTTTTTAACTATTGATAGATTATTTATGATTATTTCTTCTTCTTCTTCTTCTTCTTTAATTAGTGGCGTTTCCTTATAGATTTCGCCAATGTCGTGTAACGATATTATACTGAACTATGTAAAGAGGGATTTGTTTTATGATTATTTCCAAATATTTTCGTCTTCTCTCAACTGTCACATGTCACGTACGTCATGTTTTTTTATTGTATACACTATATAAAAGAGATTTACTTCCGAATTTTTAACTGTCAGAAAATAACTGTCAGGTAATAAATTTAATATAATTCGATACCGCTTTGTAATCAATAAAAATATTATTTCCATTTACACAGAAAATGGAAAGTAGCAGAGATCATTACATTTTCATTCTCGTAATTTATTTACATACATTTGACATCTCGTATTTTATCCTACGGAGTTTTTTAAACATTTCTCTCAAAACTTCCCTTGTGTAATTTCAAATAAATTCCGTCTCCCTTTCATGAATAATAAAGAATTTTATAAGGTTTACGCTTACAAATATATTTACATTTATATACAGTAATTTCAGTAATAAACATGTGAAAAATGTAATATTATGATGAAATATAAGACAGTAAAACAAAAAATAGTGACAATGAAGAAAAAGTCGAGCAAAAATCGCTAAAAGAATCTCTTTTTTATTACCATATAAATAAAAATATATAAAGTCACTGATAAATCTCTAGGATAAGATGAACCGTTTTATTTACGAGCGAGAACCCACTAAATAAACCAGGAGCATCTCAAATGACCCGTCGCAAAACATCCCACTCTAATCCGGATAAACTATTCATGAGTCCATTTAGAACTAGAATATTGAAAAGATAAAACATAAGAATAAAATATATATCAAAGAAAATAAACACTTTTGCTACTAAAATATGATTTATCATATAAAAAACATTTAGTTGTCGTAATGATTTTTCATATACATGAATTATATGATTACAGACATTGAAATTTCGGGTATTTTATGAGAGTATGTATTGTAGAGATTATATGATTACAGACATTGAAATTTGGCCCGGGCAAGTACCAATGTGATTTTTCTCAGTCATATGTCCTTTCTAAAAGTATTTAGACATCGCTGATTAATGCATTCCCAAAAGAGGGTTAATGTCAGGCAGTCAGTCGGTCGTAAAAACAGTTAGCCAAAACTATTCACAACATATAAGGCAGACCCTGGCTAAAGCTGGGAAATTGCCAAGAAGAAGAAGAGCCATTGAAATTTCGAACATATGTATCAATTTATAAATTTTGCAGTATCAAGAAAAGTTTATATATGTTTTTATAAATTCTTACGATACTTTAATTTTAATAAAACAAATATATTTTTATAAAGCTCTTAAATCCAACAACGACATCAAATCCCAAGAAATTTGCAATCCAACAATTAATTTTCTCAATACCACCTCCAGCTATAAATCTTGGAGCAAGACAATAAAATATACAGGAATTTATTATCTCTTCCAAGTTCTCGAGAAAAACAAATATACTCGTACATTCATTATTCCAGGTAGGACTTACCTATGTTAAATTAGAATTACTTTACTATGTACTTCTTTAATACTAAAGAACTTATATGTAGTCATTAATTTTATATATTGACAAATTTTATGACGTCATTGTCAGCATTTCTCTATTTCATTTCGAATAAATCTTTATTATGTAATAAAAAAACGCTAAGAATTAATTCGAATACCTTATATTTATTTTGACATCAGTGAAAGACGAATTAATAAGACATATCCCAAACAATGTTTGTATTAAGAATAACATATGAAATATAAAGCATATATTATTTATATGAATTAGTTAATAAATAAATATAATATAAAAGATGTTACAATATAATGCCGAGCATAAAATCTGTACAGCTCCCTAAAGAGAACTGAAAAAAAATTAAAAGTCTATTGTTATGGGCCAAGGAGGAATAATTTCAAATGTCATCCTCGTTATCTTCAGTGACACTTTGTTTTATATAATTTTGCTATTTTTAAATAAAAATGTATCATGCTGATTGTGCAAATATAATTTCTCAGAAATTACTACAATTTAAATGACAAAACATAATACTTGTCTATATATGTATGTAATAAAAATGTACCGGGAAGATATATGAAAAAATTCGAGTCTCAATATATTTCTATGTGGCTTTGCCCCGTGCAAGCTATCCCAGCAGTATGCAGACTTTAGATGAACAATAGTCATACTAATATCGTGTATACAGTAACATTGTTGAAAAATATTCTATTCAATACAAGGACGACGGTGTTTATTATCTAAAACAAACCGAAAGATATACCAATAAAATATTGCCTGGTCATTTTTTCAGGCGGACAAAGTCGCTAGTATAGCTAGTATAATAGAAATAAAGATTTCTTGACGTAACAGCTGACAATCTTTTTAACTCAATCACACGATACATACATATATTAAAACAATGTATAAAAAAAATCACTCAATAACATTTTGTCCTCATTCCAATCTTTAATAATTTCAAATCATTAACATAATATTAGTTTCATATACCTCATTTAATAAGATTACCACTAACAATGTAACACAAGCAAAACAATTTTCCAACTGAAGTGTTAGAATGGTTCACAATCTTGTATTCCTCTCAGCGGTATATTCAAAGAGGCTTTCATTCAAAGGTTTTCAAAGGAACGGACTGCACGGTTTCCCTAACATCTAAGGACTAGCTAACAAAGAGTATGTGGGATGGTAATACATGCTTGCATCTTAATACATTACGTTCAAGCAACAATGGACCTTAGACATATGTGTGTATAGTTTGTAATAGCAATGAGAGTCGTTAAATTAACGAAATATCAAAAAGCGAATGTAGTTTGAAAAAACAATCCTTTTACGTACGTAAGACAATAGCAATTTTATTAAAAATAATATTTGATCTGAGTTCGTTTTTGATATCGACCTTACTGGTAATAATTCGTTTTATAATATTTTTTTGATATTTCAGTAACCGTGATCATGTATATGATTCTCATTTAGTCTGCAAATTAATGTCACTTTAAAGTACTCCAAACGTCAATTAAAATTTAAGACAGTAAATTTAATTCGAAAATAATATTTCTATTAAAGAATATCTTCTACCTGGCAATTTCCCAGCTTTAGCCAGGGTCTGCTTACATGTTGTGAATATAGTTTTGGCTAATTGTTTTTACGACCGGCCGCCTGCCTGACATCAACCCTCTTTCTATTGAAGAATATACTCGTCAAAATCTGAAGTATATACATATATTTTTATGTTAATGTAGATACTTAATCTCATTTAAACGAAATTACCATGACGTCATGAGAAGCGACAAGAGAAATTAACAATAATGAGGTTGTTCTGTACATCATACAACCCCCTCCTCCCCCCCACATTGGTTATAACATACGCCACATCATATATAATATATTATTAAATTAAGCTCAATTTATAATAAACATCGCGACAATATACTTTGGTAATACCTTTTATCGTACTTGAATAGAAAATGTATCTTCATCAAAGTAGTGAAATACGACTTTTCTTTATACATATTTATTCCATAACAATAGCGAAGTACATGTAACAATAGATTCAGGAGAGTTCAATAACCCTTCAGTAATCTTTACCTATATTAATTATATGTTAAAATATAACTGACACATGACGTCATGGGAGCGGTGAATCGATTAACTGGTTCCGACCATATCCAACTAGATTTTCATATAGCTTAATTTACAGTGACTAAATTTAAGAGATTTCTCATTAATACAGGTGTTAATCCGTTTAAATTTGAGAAAAAAACAATTATGATATAAAATTGTATATTAAAATTATCAAATCAAATATATGTAACAGTACAATGCTTCTATTACTTCCATATTATATAGTTATTAGAATAAAAGATATAATATTAAGAAAATAAGTATAAGACAGCATTAGAGCCATCAGTTAAAGATACTACAGTTACTATTGTAATTAGGAATGTTTGTCACTATATCAATTGCTACTTCATACAAAACGTGCTAAAACAATAAAAAAATATATATTGATAAAGATCTGACATAAAAATGTCGTACAGGACATTATCCACAAATTCCTTGTAAATAGAATGAGATCACAACATACACTTGGATTGATATGAAAACTTTTTACAACGACGAAGGAGGTCGCTGACAGTAAGGTTGTATATATGTATGTTATTTAATGCATATTATTGTTTCAAATTACTGGTTTTATACATAAATATTAAATAAAATAAATGTATCAAAACATCAAATATATATTTTACTAGATTTTTTTAACTTACTTCAGGTAAATGTATGTATATGAAACTTGTTTTCGTAAAAGCTATATTTACCGTCAGCCTTATTAATTTTACGTTTCTAGGACGGAAATTAAAGAGCCGACTGACACAAATTCAACGTTTATATTCATCAGAATTACATTCATAATATATAAATGGATTGAATAAACAAAATATTTTAATATATTCTGGGTATTAGTATCAAGAACTGTGGATATATGTAACATATTTAGCTCGTATACAATACAATAAATACACACGAAAGATTTATACACATCATCTAGAACAGAGATTAGAGATTCATAGATTCTTTTTAGATATTCATAAATAGAAATATTACTATCCTACTTCGTAATCTAATATCTCCTACCTGGCAATTTCCCAGCCTTAGCCAGGGTCTGCCTTACATGTTGTGAATAGTTTTGACTAATTGTTTTTACGACCGGCCGCCCGCCTGACATCAACCCTCTTTGGGAATGCATTAATCAGTGATGTCTAAATACTCTTAGAAAGTACATATGACTCGGAAGAATCACATTGGCACTTGCCGGGATCGAACCCGGGATCGAAACCGCGCCCTCATGCATGAGAGGCGGGCCTTTTTACACCTAGGCCACCACTGACTTTACTTCGTAATCTAATATATGATACATTAAATCAATAAGTTATAAATA